ACTGGTGGAATTTCTTTGTAGTAGACTGATGTGGAATGTAAAGGTACAATTAAAGTAAAGATGTTCTGTCAATTTTGACTCTGATTTGATTTCGGGGACAAATCTGTTAGTGTATTGAGCATCAGAAGACAAGAGCAGGTTAATTCTGCTTGCTTATTTGGGAAGATTTTCAATTTATGTATACTAGCTCCTTTTACAAAGGATTTTAGTGAAAGAACATTGACACTAGTTTTGTGGTGACTAAGAAGTAAGTGCTGCGGACTTTGAACCTTGGGGTCAAAGTGTTGTATTCTTGGCCAAGACACTACTTTTACAGTGCTTCTTTCTACTCAAGAGGTTTAAATAGGTGTAAGGAAAAGCTAATAAAATGCAGAGGGAAATACTGTACTGGACCAACTTTTTGTCTAAGGGGGCACAGCAGTACTCCACATTGCTTCACTTCATGCCACTGAATACTGGGATAATTTCTGTCATGATGACTTTATTGGCCCTAAAGGTGACTGAACCTTTTGCCTTTTGCAGAACTACCGCCATAACTGGCTATCTACCTCAGGAGCTCATAGGAAGTTCTGGTTATGAATATTTTCATCAAGAAGACCTTAATTCAATAGCAATTTCCCATCGTCGGGCTCTTCAGGGGGAGATTGTGTCAACTGATGTTTACAGGTTTCGATGCAAGGCAGGTCACTATCTTCCATTACGAACTTGTTCGAATGTATTCCGAAATCCCTGGTCAAAGGAACTGGAGTTTCTAGTTTGCGTCAACACCGTGGTCACGTGAGTATAGCATACTAGATCTTTTTTTTTCTCTATTGTTGAGGGTGTTTTAAGATAGTATGCAGCGTTACTTTTCACGTGCTCATTTTCCCTGAGAATTTGACTCTTAGTGGGGAAAAAAAAAAAAAGGTTTTTCACGAACGAAGAAGGGGTATTTTATTTTCAATTGTGTCTCGCGCCTCGGGATCTTTTATTTGAAAGTATCACAAGCCAAGATGCTGAATGAATTTGCAACAACCCAGGGGCAGAATCAGCGAGAGTTCCGGAGATAACTGATTCTGAAAAAAATAACTTTGTGCGGGCTTCGACTTCATTTTCCGCCATCATAAAACTGTTATGAAGGATAGGAGAGGCCTCTCAAGCAAATCATGGTATTGTTGGTTGCCATAATGACCAGTGTTTTGTCTTAAGGGGTTTGGAGTCAATGTCATTGCCCCTGGCAGCTCCTCCGTCTGATGTGTCCTGCACCAGTTTGCAGCTTGCAAGTAGTGTAGGATCTGGGTCTTCAGCTCAAACTGACAGTATGGCTGGAAAGACGAGTGTACAGCAAGTGTTAGAAGTATTGAAGAAACGTGGGCAGCAGTTAGATGCAGGTTAGCTCTTGTCAAGATTACGATTGTGTATCACTTAGTTTTTTTTTTGAGCATTCAGTAAGTTTGAAAATGCTCTCAATTTGTATTTGATCCTCTGGAAAATCTCTCAGCAATCTATGTTCAGTATCTTTGAAGTCGACCAATGGGGACTTGGTCAAGTTGATCAAGTCGAGGCCCAGCGGTGAATTCAAGGAGGAAAATATTTTTGTTAAAAAAAAACCAACCAAACAAAAAAAAAACAGGAACTCATCATTCTTCTTTCCTCGTTTTGAGTTGCATCATTTATCGAATGTAGTTTCTTCATTAGGTTCTACGAATATTATTTTACTTTTGCAGTGGGGTTTCTTGAAAATGTCAGTTCAAAAGGAAGAGATTTCTCTTTTCCTCTGCTGAGTGTAGTTAGTGTAGTTATGTCTCAAAACTTCACTCTCCGCCTGCAGTCATGACCTATTTGTCGTTTGCAAGTCTTCTTTTTGCAATCCTGAAATAAGTTCTGTAAGTCGTTGACTACAATACGCTCAGACCAGCTCGTACCATCCCTCGAACTATTACCGCCCTGTGTTGTTTCAGATTATTTGTTTTGAGTTATCATGGCATAGATATGGAAACCTTCCTACAAGGCTAGATAAATTAGTCAGCATATGAAGCGTGTTGGACCAAATTTGGGCGGTGGAATTTACACTAAATAGACAGAATTTCTACCTTTATTGTAATCAGAAGTTTTTAATGAATTTAAAACGTTTTCTCCTGTTGAAAGTAATCAGTTTTCGTTAAGTTTGTCTTCCAAGCTATGAGGAAGCAAATTAAACGTTAATTCCTCCATTTTAGGGTCCATGTCAGCTGGCAAGAAGAGTCATGAACTTGACGTTGCTATGGCTAATGTGGGAAATGCAGGTGCGAGTCGTATTGGGGCCATTGTGGCCGAACAGGTTCAAAACCAGGAAACACAAGACAGGTGGGTACTGTCCTTTTCATAAAAAGAACTTGTTTTTGAAGGACTACCCCGCCCCTCTAGTGACAGTAAGATTTTGAAACCATCTCTATTTTTTTGATAATACAAGCAAACGAAACAGTGTGGCAGCATCGAACCATCAAACAATTATTCTAATGAAAGTTTGCTTGCATTAAGCTGAAGTTTCGAAAAGGGAGGAAGTCCTGCCGAGGTTATTTCTCTGCCCGTACATTAAAGTTGTCTTCAATAAGGAGCCAGTAATATTGAGGAGTCAGGAGTGTTTGTCGTAAAAGAGCTATGCACTCTTGACGAGCGCCTAATTTAACAACAGGCCCTTTCCCTCTGAACTCTCAAACTCCCGAGATCTGAATGGTACTTCTCTCTTTCAGCTGCTATTCATTTCCTCGTCAGTAATTTAAAAAATGAATTGGAAAAGAGGTGACTCGCCTTTTACTTTCTATTATCTCAGGGAATTCCAGTTCGGACTAGGTCTTAATCGACTGAATGAGGGTCTTCCATCTAATACGGGTGGTGTGAGTACGATAAACATTGACGACATTTCACCGAACGCACCAAATGCCCCAAGAGTTCCGTCTACCGATAGAACGGGCTCGCATGCGGTAGGAGCTGGTTTGGATAATCAGCGGCAGTTGTCACAGGCACACTTGTTGGAACAGTTGATTGGAATGCAGAATGCAATTGAGTCAATGGAAGCTCCCATGGAACAAAGCGAAGAAACTATGTCAGTTTTCATGAACATGCTTGAGGCAGACGCCGGCCTTGGAGGAGAATTCGAGAATTTATCGTAGAGCAGATAAACAGCAAAACCTGCTTTGCTGGTTTGCTAGTTTCCTGGTAGAGTTAAATTGAAAAAAAAAAGTTTAAAAAGATACAGATCATACTTACAGAATCTTAAGAAATAAACTCTCCTTGGACGTAAATATTCACGGATCTTGTGAATATATTTTGAGTAGCTTGCCACGCAGGTGTCCAATACGAAGGGGGAACATGATCGCAATCGTTTGACGATCCACCATGTTTTGTTCCGGGTTAGAGTAAAGTCTTTCCCTAAAATACGCCCGAAATGCAGGCCTTAGTTTGTGTAAATTTCTTTAAAGGTAAGGTCATTTTTTTGTTTTTTAAGTTTTGTTTCACCCGGAAACATCAGAAAGGGGAAGTAATAACATCCAAAAACGGTTTTCCTTGTTAGTAATTTGTAGCTTTGGCCGAGGGTCCTTGAATAACTTTGGTAACAAGCGTTATCTAGAATGTAACTTAAAATTGAACACTCAGTTAAGTTTGGTCTCCAACAAAGTACAGTTTTTACGACGGACATATCTGGTTATTGAAAGAAACGTCAGGAAATAGGTTGTGTTGGGTAGGTTATTGCGACCATTAACTGACAAAAATTGCTGTAAATAGCTTTGGGGTTTTGGGGAAATATACAAAATGTGTTTGACCAGTCAGAGAGCGCCTGTAATCCTATTGAGTCATAATGAAATGACTAGCATAATTAAGACTACGTGTGCAAATTAGGCTGAATAAGTGGGACTGAGGCCTGAGTTTAAGATGTCAAAAATCGCCGTCAACCGAAGGCTCGATTGCATATGCGTGAGTGCGATTTTTGCGCATGTGCTATTCAAGACCTAAGTGAATTAACTATGGAAGAACCAGAAAACAAGTGTTTGTTAACGGTTAAGTGCGGTTAACGGAATAGAGAAACAAAAAGCGCGCAATCCTCCTTTCACCAAACCTGGAAGGACCTCCTGTTGTTATTATGCCTCGTTGTCATGCACAGTGCAACCAGGGTATCTACCCTTGCTGACGCTGCCAAGTACGAATGAAGACTCGAGTGTAATTGGAAACAAGGACCTTCTCGCGTGGAAACAGGACGGGCAATAATTTAGTATGTTGGATCTTTACTCGTACAAGCAATCAGGTTTATACCGCATGTTTAAAAATTTTATGGTAAGTTATACATGGTTACACATGTATCCGAAGTTCTAATCGTGAGTAGGTCAAGAACATTTTGTAATAAGGGTTTCGAGATTATCGATTCGTTCCTTTTGTCCATTGTTCTGCGAGAAATCGACTCCAATGCGCAATGACAAGTTATCGATGCGCTTATACAACTGCGAGAATATTCTCCTTTGTAGTAAGATTTAAAAAATTACGAAAATATGCAAGCACCACTCAATTGTGACCAAAGAAACGTGGAGGGAAAGGGGAGGTAATGGACTGTGTTAAAATAGTGTTGCATTCCCCCAGTGGAGGAGGGTGTTGTTCTTTTTAATCCAAAGCAATGAAGGAGAAGGAAATGACTATCAAGCTAAGCACAATATAGTACAATCAAATGAACGACAATAATACAACCAATACTTTAGAGTTAAAGTTCGGTGGGAGAGGGAAGGAGTGGGCTTAGGAAGGACTTAAACATTTCAGTCTGAGAAAGAACGTAATAGGGCAGTGAAAGCAGTAAGCTTTATTTCTTTGAGTGCATTTTGAATTTGGAATTAAGGTGATCCTACATGATACTTTTCATATTCAGCAGCATCACAGACATGTTTAAACATTTTGAGTAGTATCATTACTTTCCTCTGTGTAATCATTTTTTCATCTTCAAAAATTTGGAAAAAAACAGTTTTTCATGCAAAAGTGAGTATTAACATGTGTAGCTTTTAGGACTGTGGATTATGTGGCAACTCTGACCAACCGTCTCCATAACTGGCCATTGGGTATGCTGGCTCGCCATGTTTGGGAATATCAAGACCTAGGACAAACAAAAAATTTTAAGTTTTGGTTTATTGAATGTTGTAAAAAAAAAAAACATAGATATGATCTGTACCACTGTAGCTGATCTCAAATCATCAGGTAGAAAGATAACCAACAATTCTATATTACTGAAGTACCTGTAGCTATAATCTGTCATGAAAACAAGCTTAGGTTTGATTAAATGTATTCAATTCTTCCTTAAAAGTCCACAAATAGCATAACAGACACACATTTCAACCAGGGTCTCATGGAAAGGAAAAACATTCTAAATGAGTATATAAAAATTGATATAAATTAGCAGATGATGATGAGTCAACTTGGGCATTATTATCATCATATCACCCAGGAGATGTACCAGGGGTATTACCTTTATCTGTCAGACCTTTAAATATGGCATAAATGTTATCAGCATATCACCCCAGTAGATGTAACAGGTGTATTACCTGTATCTCTCAGACCATTAAAAACCATATTAATGTTATTGACTTACATTAACAGGTATATAACCTATGTCTGTCAGACCTTAGAAATGCAAAGCCACTAATGAATTTAAAAGTTGCCAACTTGTATGGTAACCAAGAGGTGCATGAGGTCTCTACACCTGGAAAGTGTCTGCATGTAGGAAAATATAAATTTTACGCATGAAACTCCATGGAATAATTGATGTATTGATGTATCTGGTCCAGACTGTTACCTTTCTGCTCGATTTCTGCACTGACACGAAGCTGCTTTGAGATGCGCAACATGAAAAACATGGGGACACTCAATGCTGCAGACCAGGCCATGATGGCAAGCACTCCCAGCAGGTTCCATCCAAACAAACAGAATGAATGCTCGCTTCCAACATAGAATATTCCAGATTCTGTGTTGAAGATGGGAACAGACAGCACACCCCAGAAACCACCACCAAAGTGAACTGTACATAATAGTCAAACAATGTTACTGGTGAACAGTTCAGTTGCTTTCCAAGAGTAATCTGGCATTGCATTGATTTTGTATGTGATTGATCCACAATACTTGCAACAAACCTTCAGCCCAATAAAACCAATGCCCTTTTGATCCCTTTCCTTATGCTGGCCCTTGCATCAGACCATTTACACGTTTTACTTAAAGTTTCCTTGATATGGTTTTATTGGTCCAAAAGAGCATAGATTTGGTTTTACAGCAATCAATTGAAAAGCATGGTGTGTAGATTAGGGAGTGCCAAACAATGCTTTTCACAATAAGTTGGCTGGAAAATGGAACATGAGTTGATAAGGTGGATCAGTATTTGAGCAACTCACCTGCCACAGCATCCAGTGGATCATCAATCTTTAAACGAATCAGAAGAGTGCTCCATCCAACGTAGGCCATTCCAGCAATGATGCCAATGAAAAAAGCAGCATAAGGATGGACGGCATTGCAACCTGCACACAAGGCCACCTAAGAAACAAATGCAAAGGTTATCATTTGTAATGGAATTGATAAGGTTAAAACATCTGATCAGTACAGTAAGCCAGCCAAAATGGGCATGATCCACCCATTTATAAGAGCACAGTCCCTTCCAATAAATCAGGCAGATATTGATTGCTATTTTTTTTCTTTCTAGAAACTCATTGTATGTACTGCCCTTCAGGTGTACTTGTTTTGTGATCTGAAACACAATGCAACTCCTTTTAGACTTAAAAAGAAGCTGATGGAACAACAGATGGCATTTCACATGAATTACAGCCAACAACTAGCTCACAAACTGATGAAAAACCCTCTCTACTCAAATTGGTAGAAAGAGTACTGGTTTGAATTCCATATTTTTAACCATCTTTATTGCTCAAAAAATAATGAATAGGCGCTTGAAGTTGCAGAGAATTATTTTATTTCATAGCAATTTCAAACTGAAAGTATAAAGGAATGTAATGGTAATTAAAATCAATCTCTCTTTGGGGCTTCATGTGGAAGGTGCTCTTAATATTCAAAGCCTACACATATTTATAATCTAACTAATGTGTTGCACCATTCCAGTAAGTCCGCCGTTAATGGTGAAAAGTAAGCTCCAGTACTTTGCTGCATAGCCCAGACGTTTGATGATCATGGCAGTTAGGGCACCTGCAGCTCCTAAATGAGAAAAGAGAACCACATTAGATTCTTTTGGCAAAGAGGATGAAAACAGAAATAAAATTAAGCTCCTGGGTAAAGAGTTATTATGTTTCACCTTCAAGAACTGTGTTGACAAGTGAACTGAAAATGGAGAGAAAATAAGGCTCATAGTTAAATAGTTACTGTCTCACCTCCAAGGATTGTGTTGACAACGGACAGTGCTACAGCATCTGCATCACCTGCACTAGCAATGGCTGCCTGTGAGCCACCATTGAATGCCAGGAAGCCAAAAAACAGGATGAATCCTCCAAGAGCTGCTTGCTAGAATAAAAAAAATGCAAAAGCATGGTTAAGATTTTAAGAGTCCTGTACAGTAACTGGACCAGTCTTTAAATGCAAAATCCACCCTTGAAAATGACAAGCTTAAGAAGTCTTTCACTCACTGGTACAGTATGGCCTGGAAGTAGAACAGGGACACCATTCACAAATCTTCCTATTCTTGGTCCAACAGCAGTTGCTCCAACTAGGGCAACAGTACCACCAAGAACATGAACAACCCCACTGCCAGCAAAATCCTTGATTTAGAAAAGAATAGCACAGTAGTGGACTGGTATGTACAGATATATGTGCAAAAGATCAGGTTTCAGTGACCTTTAATGACAGCCATTATTAGTGTCTAAGTGACTGTTAAATTGTCTTACTACTTCCATGTCTTCTCTTACCTGGAATGTAACAGACAAGGTTACATTGTCTTTAGTGTAATCCACACCCTTGTACAGCCAACCATTTCCATCCCAAGCCCAGTGAGTGACTACTGGGTATACAAAGCCTAAGGAAGAATGATGAATATAACAACAGCTTGCCACCATAAGGTTGAAAACTAGAGATGCAAGTGCCACCTATCAGAAATAAGGAGTAGGGCCTGGAACTTACCAGTGAGAAACACAGAGTACAACAGGTAAGCCTTAAACTCTGTCCTCTCTGCCATGGCACCACTGACAATTGTTGCTGCCGTGGCAGCAAAAACAAAATGGAAAAACCAGTGAGAGTATTTGTCAGCTGGTAAATCTGCCAGTGCAAAAAACTTGTGTCCAATGAAGCCATTGCTTTCTGCTCCAAATGCAAATGCATACCCAAACATCCAATAGGCCACTGCACCAATAACTGTATGACATAAAACAAGACACATCATTTACTCAGGGAATTGCCATGTGTAGAGGTTTACTTGGCTATTGAAAATCTAACCTAAAGATGGCTGTACAGTATAAAAGTTAACTTCTTGGAATGAAAATAAAAGAACAAACAAATCATGAAAGTCAAATTTTGATCTGATTGAGGAACTGATGCATAAGAGAGATGCCATCTTTCTTTTTTGAACTTTTGTACCTCTTTGGATACTGGTAAATGACTTATTTCTATCATCACTACTTACAAACATCCAAGAAATTCTTGATCAGAATGTTTGTTGTGTTCTTTGATCTTACTGAGCCAGCTTCAAGAAAAGCAAATCCTGTTTGCATAACTGAAAAAAGACAGATCAGCCATCAACTACCAACCACTGAATTGGTGAGATGTCATATATCTCTTGTCCTCAGTTGTTTTTCTCTGTCATTTATCAATCTGATTATAGGGTCTCTTTAAAATGCGACTAGGCATATGTAATGCAGGGGATCTATTTAAGGGAACTGCACCTGGACACCATTTGTCCATCCTGGAAACATTTGCTTACATTTTTGGTCCATTTGGATTATCTGACAGTTCTTGCATTTCCATCCTGGAAAGGTTTGCCTACATTTTTCAAGTTTGTCACTTTTGCAATCTGTGAGAACTTTCTCCAATACAATGTCAACCAATTAAGTGACAAGAATAAAGAAAATTGTCAATTTGGAGATAATTAGTTGATCCTATACTAAATTCTCTGAAATATGACATTAGAATTGCATGGTTAACAGTGAGGAGAATTACAAAATTTGATCTGGGAGTTAAAGGATTAATTATTTTTTCCCCTAATCTCAATTTTCTTTGTTCAAGTTCAATGTATTCATTATAGTGTCAGGTTTCATCTGTATACTGTTAATATAATGATCCCAGAGGCAGAGTGGGTGCCTAAGTCAGCAAACCATTTTTTCTCTCTTATTTAAGCAAAGAAAACAGTTTTAACTCTTCCTAAAAAATATATTCTTTTATGTAAAACAATCACTTCATGCATGGATATCTCAAACTTTAAAGAAAAGAGATGGAAAACTATACTCACAAAAAATGAGGCAGCCTGTGATGATCAGAAAGAAGTGGTCAAGGTTGTCTTGCAAAATCTGTAGGTCTGACATTGTTGCCATTTTGACTTCTGTTTCTCCTGACGGAAGTAATTTTAACTGATATAATAGTGTTTTGTTTATTTTTTTTTTTAACAAAATTTATATCGCAGTAGATTCATCTTGCAACCTTTGGTGTATTATAGGCATCAAGTATGGGATCCCTATTTAACCCTTTAACTCCCAGATCAAATTTGTAATTCTCCTTACTGTCAACCATACAATTCTTATAATGTTAGTTCAGAGAATTTAGTATTGGATCGAATAATTATCCCCAAATTGATATTTTTCCATATTCTTGTTACTTATGTGGTTGATATTGTATTGATATTGTAAGGAGAAATTCTGTCCTGGTCATTCATGGGAGTTAAAGGGTTAAGACCTCCCAAATCTCCTGAAAAATAGTGGGTTAAATGGGGAAAAGTGGGAAGTGTTGAAAGTGTAAACATAAAACAAAAGAAAAATTATTTGTCCTTAAATTGAGCATGAATGTTGAGGGACCTACAAACTGCAAGGCAGCCATGTTAATCACAAGGCAGTGCCAAAATGAAAAAAAAAATTATTAGCTTTGAAATAGCATTAATACCAATGTTCTAAATGTTTGTTCTGAAAAGAGATGGTCAATAGAGAGGAATTTATTAAAGATTTCTTGTATTTCTGACTTATTCATTCAAAAATGCTTGGTTTAATGATGGATGTCAAGTAAAATAAAGTGTTTGATTAAATGTTCAAATTGCTGGTAATGAAATTGATTTTCTTGTGTGTTCATCTCCTTTTGTCAGAGTTGCTCAGTGTTGAGAAGTTAGTATCCATTCTGTTTAGCTATTGATCCCATTTTTTGCTGTGTCTGAGATAAGTTACTGGATGGGACAGAATAATTTGGGGAAATATATAGATATATGTTATAAGGAAAGTTAGTCCTGAGATAATTCTATGCATTCTGATTGGTTCTGACCTGGTCTTTATATGGAATGTACAGCAAATAGTCTATGCAAACTGTCAAACTGTGTGTTTTTCTTTTTAAGAAAGTCAGCAAACTCAAAATAATAAAGAATGATAAGCTGGATTGATTCAATAGACTTAAAATTGTGTTTGGTGGCTTGGAGAAGAGGACAGTAAATTTCAAGAAAAAGAGAGAACAGAAAACTTTGATTATTATCAGTGAAGTAGAGAGGAACATCAATGCTGAGGCACATGTGATAGAGAATCTACAGGGGTGAAGCCCAACTAAGCTAGGGTGTTTCTAACAGGGTAATTTAGTGTTATAAACTGAGTTGATAACGTAAATTGGCCATCGTAAAGTGTTTGAAAGCTAACGTGCGTTAGCCCTTCATCAGAGCGATTAGAGGAAACGTGGGTAGTATGTGGGTTTACATGCAGAAAATGGAGCTACGCTATAGGTGGGAATATGGTGATTAAAAAAACTAGATGAATGGAAAGCACTCGTTGATACCGTGGGGATTTAGAGTGCCGGGGTGTTTTTAGTCCGGTACCAGACCTTTGCCCGCCACCCTCGTGATGAGTCCGAAAGAAGGAGAAAAGCAATAGACATTTTTAATACTATTCAGAGAACTTGACTGTAAAGATTAAAGATGCTTAAAATAAATTTTTAACGGAGAAGCGGTGACTGGTACCGGAATAAAGAAGATTTCCTCTGGCATAAAAATTGTTATTCGTACGAAACGTTAATAGAGTACAATTGCAAGAGAGCCAACTATTACTCTGGGAACAAGTTTTAAAATAAGTAAATAAAAACTATGCAAACTAAAATTTATAGTGATTAAAGAACTGAAAGATACTCACGTTTTGGGGAAACAGATTTTTGTGGTATCCTTTGTGAGAGCTTTCTTTGGAAAGAGCCTCGTTATGTGGTAGCCAAGGGAAAAAAAAGAACAATTTTTTTTTTACTCCGGTGACGCCACGATTGCGTGATCTCGTTACGTAAGAGTTTCGGCCCGAAAAGAAGCATGGTCCCGTTGTAGATTTCTACTTTGTTGTCGTGATAATTCGATTTCTTGTTGGAGATGTCCATTTAACTCCCAAAGTGTAATGAGAGTAACCAAGGGTGTTTTGGGAGCGAATGATTGCGGGAAGGTTGGCATTGATATCCCGAAAAGAGCAATCATCGGATGAAATGGTAAGAACGATTTAGACGGTTTGTCGGTTCATTGGTAAATGATCGAATTTAACATTAATTTTTCTTTCTACTTTCGAAAAGTATATAGTTATTGTGTTGAGGAGTCTGCATTTATTTGTGATGTAAAAATCATTTATCGATGAGAGAATGGTAGGACGAATACATGAATTTTTCTTCCGAACGTGAAGATTATATCTTTGGCACAGATATACGAAAGATGCGTTGTTCATAACCAGTTAGGTACAAAAGTTTAATTGCTACAAGTGGAAAGTGTTATGCGGAAAGTTGAATTAAGAAAGGATCGAAAACTGATTAAGATAGTTATCGCTGCGGAAAGGCTAACAAATTTACAAAATGGCTGGAAGCGTTAGAACTATATAGTACCTTTATTTGTTACAGTATAGGCATGTATTTACAACATGGAATTGTAATGAGGATGTACGTGGTGGGTGATGTACATCTTATATGAAAATGTTAATTGTAGGTAACTGTTTTTTTCGATAATGCTATGTCTTTCATGATTGTAAATTCAGTGTAAGATTTTATTAAAAAAAGTCATTAAATCTTTAATTCATACCAATGGCTTGAACGATTATTCTAAAAGATATGTTACTAAAATGATATACCAAGAACAATCAGCATTTGTTACATTAAAATGACTAGAATTTGAAAGATGGGTGCCATGATAGAAACCCTTTATTTAGAGAATAAAATGAGAAAAAACAAAAACATTTTTTAAATATGAAATTGTCAACAATAAGTAAAAAATTTGCTTCAGATGGAACTCCATTACTGGTGTTAGGATTTTGAAAATTAACTATTTTTGTGGAGAATTTTACTAGTTAGGAGTAGTGTGTGGAGTTCCATTGAGTTTTAATAGATATTTGTAAATTTTTTACACGTTGTTTGGTGATTCTGTAAAATGTTGTGAACAATTTTGTTGGTCCATTTGTCTGTATTGTTTATGGTCTTGTAGTAGACGGTGGGTTTGTGATTTTTTGTCTCTTATTTTTTAGGTGTTGTTGGTGGGCAGAGTTTGTGAACCAGGGAAAAGGGTGAACAGTAATAAGTTTGTCAGGGTAGTCTAAGGCAGTTAGTTGTGGGGAAAACAGTTGGGGTATGAAGTTGTATTCTTCTAGAGTTACTCAGGATCTCTTTTCAGAAGTGGTCCCATTGCCTAGGTTTTTTTCTTTCCTGTAGGATTATCTTCCATAAGGTGCCACTAACATTAAACAGTGACTGCTGTGACTGGGGTTCCCTCCCTGTCTCTCATCAGCAGTTAATTAGCAGTAAACTTTCCTTTATACACAGTTCGCCAAGACTGAGACCCTCCCACATTCCCCCTGAAAACATTTGATATCCTCCAATCCATGCCTAACCAGGCAATAAAAAATGCCTAATACTTAACTGAGGCATGACTGTTTATGTGTGAGTTCAAGTTTTTCCCCATGTATGCTTCAAGAACTAAGTAAAAGGCTTGCAAATTGTTCTTATTTGTCTTTCGCTTGTAAATGGAATTTAAATGATTGTGTTGAGTTTTATATTTATGAACGCCTGACAACTGAGGAATGCCAGGCTGACATGGGAACTTTGATCTGTGTATTTCAAAGTTCTTGTAAAACCCCCCTTATTTCAAAGGGGGTTTTTTGGGGGAAAAAAAAAGTATTTGACAGGAAGTTAATTTGAATCAGACCAAACCTTTCAGTATTTTTAGTGTCCTTCTCACCATCAGGGTTTGTTAAGGGTAAGGTTTATCTTGGTAGATTAGTCCAATCACATATATAAAGCCCTGTGACGCAACGCTAGAATTAATTTTGTGTAGAAGTAATGCCTATAGGTTTATAGTGTTTGTGGTGAGAAAGGATCACGGCTGAAGTCAGGCTTGGTAAAGCATTTAGGTTTGAAAGTAAAGTCACACATACAAGGTTACCACTAACATAACAAAGATTTTTTTTTTATTCCTTTACTCCCAGACTACATGAATGTAGTTGGCTGTGCACATTTACATGCTGTATGACTGTGAGGAAATGATGTAGCTAATGTTTTAATTAACACAATATACGTTATAATATCTAGACATATCAGTTCTTAGCGAGTGAGCCGTGCATTTTAAAGCGTGAAAAGCGATGATTTCTTAATTAGTTTTTATAACCTACACCAGTGTCTACAAATATTGTGGCCCTTGGAAGGTAAGTGGGGATTGGACTCTAGTGGATAGACTGTGGCTTCAGTCCCCACTCGCTATAATCTGATGGAGTCCAGTCTCTCACATGAAAAACAAGTTTGACGACTATTTTGATCCCCATCTTGAATTTAAAATACTTTTGAATTGACACATGCTCTAATAACTATCAAGGGTTACAAAGTACGATATATAGTCTGTCACCATGCACGATAAAAACTAAATAAATATAGAAGATAAGATCTTAACTAGGCTGTTTTCCTTTCCTCGTTGCTATTGATGTTTACCGTCTGAGCAATTTCGGGTCACCTATGGACAAGCCTACATTTTTCTCAGGTAAATTGAAGTTATTTTGTTTTTTTTTTGTGTCGAGTATTGCTGCCAACAATTGCGGTTAATATCATTCATTGAGCAATATGAAACTATAATAAGTGTTGTGATTTAGCGAATGCCACACGAAAGATTTATTTTCCCATATTTGGCATGAAGTGGGCAAGTAGCATTCTTTCGATCTGGTCTGTTATATTCAAAACTCTGTGGTTTCGTTCTTGTTTGGAGCTTCAATAACCTCAAGACTTGGATTATCGATTCCACCTCCTTTCTCAGGATAGTTACTTTGGACAGGGGTGACGCCATTACTATGACTAAACGGCAAGGTCTGTCTCGGTGCTGATGGCGACTCCGACCATCCGTCTCCGTAACTGGCCAGTGGGTACGCGGGCTCGCCGTGTTTGGGAATATCAAGACCTAGAACAAAAAAGACACAGTTTTTGAAAGTTGTTCAAAAATTTTAAACATAATTTGTCGCATTGTAGCTGATCTCAAATCACTTGGCGGAAAGAAAACCGGCGAATCAATATCACTCAGTGACATTAGCCCTTTTGACAAATATCACTGAGGTAACTATAATTTGCCGCGAAATTGAGATTTGCTTTGATTAGATGTTATCAATTTTTTTTACAAGTTCACTAATACCGAAAACACTCAACAGACACACACATCAACCAAGGTTTCATGGAAATGAAAAATATTCTAAATGAATATAACAAAATTTTTATGAACTACCAGATGATGACGAATCAACTTGGGCGTAACTAGATAACTACTTACACATAACTTATTGGTAACAGTATATCACCCTCGTAGATGTAACAGGGGTATTACCTATGTCTGTCAGACCTTTACGGATGCTTTTGCTAACATCACGTCAAATAAGTTATTAAAAAGTTAAACCTACTAATGAAAAGAAGGGTTCCCGAGTCTCACGATGACGAGGTGCGCCCTTGAGGAGTGTCAGCATGTACGTACATGTAGACAGTGTAAGCGTGAAACTGACAAAGAATTGATGAATCTTGTCCATATTATTACCTTTCTCCTCGATTTCCGCACTGACACGAAGCTGCTTTGTGACGCGCAACACAACGAACAAGATTAAACTCAGTGCTGCCGACCAGGCCATGATGACAAGCACTCCCAGCAGATTCCAGCCAAACAAACGGAATGAATGACCGCTTCCATCGTAAAATATTCCACTGTCTTTGTTGAAGATGGGAACAGACAGCACTCCCCAGAAACCACCACCGAGATGAACTGTGAAGAATAATCAAACAAGGTTACCACTGAAAAGTTTATGAATAAAGGGGGTAACTTTCCAAAGAAACTGTGATGTTGCGTCGGTGGATGAGTATAACAAGATACTTTGGTCATTATCAACTGGGTTGATAATGTAAATTGGCCACCACCAAGAGTTTCTAAGCTGACGTTTTGAGCATTAGCCCTTCGTCAGAGCGAAAGGCTAACGCTCGATAAAACCAAATTATCCAGTGAGAAGTTCATTTCTTTTCAAAAGTAGTCCGACATTGCTTTCACTTTGAGTCAGCGATTCAGCGCACTAAAACCAATGTAATTGATCGAAAAGTACCGCGTGGAGAACGGTGGGTGCTAAACAAGGCTTTTCGCAAGAAGTTGGCTGGAAAACAGAACATGAGTAGATGGGGTGGATCAGTGCTTGAGCAACTCACCAGCCACAGCATCTAGTGGATCATCAATCTTTAAACGAATCATAAGAGTGCTCCATCCAACGTAGGCCATTCCAGCAATGATGCCGATGATAAAAGCAGCATAAGGATGGACGGCATTGCAACCTGCACACAAGGCCACCTAAGAAACAAATGCCAAGGTTGTCATTTGTAATAGAATTGATAAAGTTAAAACATCTAATTAGTACAGTAAGCCAGCCAAAATGGGCATGATCCACCCATCTATAAGAGCGTGGTCACTTCCAATAAATCAGGCGATTGCTATTTGTTTTCATCTTGGAATATCATCGAATGTACTGTCCTACAGACGCATTTGTTTTGTGATCTGAAACACAATGCAACTCCTTTTAGACTAAAAGGAAGGTGAATTAACAGATGGCATTTCAAATGCATTGCAGCCGACAGAAAGCTCAAAAACTGATCAAAAACCTTTTCTACTCAAATTGGTGGGAAGAATACCAGCTTGAATTCCATATTTTTAAACATCTTTATGGCTCAAAAAATAATGAATTGTTGCTTGAAGTTGCAGAGAATAATTCCATGATTTATTTGATAGCAATTTCACATTAAAAGGATAAAGGAATGTAATGGTAATTAAAGTCAGTCTCTCTTTGAAGCTGCTCGTGGAAGGTGCTCTTGAAATTCAGAGCCTATGCATATTCGTAATTTAACTAATGTGTTATACCATTCCAGTAAGTCCACCATTAATGGTGAAAAGCAAACTCCAGTATTTATCTGCAAATCCCAGACGTTTGATGATCATGGCAGTTAGCGCACCTGAAGCTCCTAAATGAGAGAAGAGAACCGCATAAGATTCTTTTGTCAAGGAGGACTGGAAACAGAAAAAAATTGGCTTCCAGTTAAATAGTTCCAGTGTCTCACCTCCAAGAACTGTGTTGACAATGGACAGTGCTACAGCATCTGCATCGCCTGGACTAGCAATGGCTGCCTGTGAGCCACCATTGAAAGCCAGGAAGCCGAAAAAAAGGATAAATCCTCCAAGGGCCGCTTTCTAGAAAAAAAGTCATGTTTGAAATTTTTAAATGGCCGGTTTTATGAATGGAATAGTCTGAAAATTCAAAGTCCTATCGAGAAATGGCATACACAAGAAGTTCTTTACTCACCGGTACAGTATGGCCTGCAAGCAGCACAGGGACACCATTCACAAATCGTCCGAGCCTTGGTCCAACAATGGCTGCTCCGACTAAGGCAACAGTACCACCAAGAACATGAACGACCCCACTGCCAGCAAAATCCTTGATTTATTCAACAACAAAAAAAAGCTGAAGTTAAGGATCTTGATTTATCTTGATTGGTAGGTACAAGTATACCTGGGAAAGATTCTTTTTAGTGACATATCAAGATGGCTGTTATTTGAATCTCACCTGGTATGCTACAGTCATGGTTACGTTGTCCTTAGTGTACTCCACACCCTTGTACAGCCAACCATTTTCATCCCAAGCCCAGTGAGTGACAATTGGGTACACAAAGCCTGAGGGAGAACAATAAATATATCAATGGCTTGTAGAAAACTGGAGACCTTGGTACCACCCGACAAAAATAAGGAATAGGATTTGGAACTTACCAGTGAGAAACACAGAGTATAACAGGTAAGCCTTGAACTCTGTCCTCTCTGCCATGGCACCACTGACAATTGTTGCTGCCGTGGCAGCGAAAACAAAATGGAAAAACCAATGAGAGTATTTGTCAGCTGGTAAATCTGCTAGTGCAAAAAACTTGTGTCCAATGAAGCCATTGCTTTCTACTCCAAACGCAAATGCGTACCCAAACAGCCAATAGGCCACTGCACCAATAACTGTAAAAAGTAAAACGCGACACATAGTTTACACACGGAATTGCCACACTCAGAAATTTATTGGGACTATTAAAACTCTAGCTCAAAGACAGCTGTACATAACAGCCTAAAATGATAACTATTTAGGATGAAAATAGATATAAATCAGTTACATCATGACCATCAATTTTTGATCTAATTGAAGAACTGACTTGGATGAATTTTGCATCAAATCGCATTTGTAAAGAGCAATGCCAATGTGTTTGAAATTTTGAAGCTGTTAGTTTTCCTGTAAATGTTTACTCTCTTTAATAAATACTTACACACGTCCAGGAAATTCTTGATCAGAATGTTTGTTGTGTTCTTCGACCTTACTGAGCCAGCTTCAAGAAAAGCAAATCCTGTTTGCATAACTGCAAAAAGACAGATCAGCCATCAGCCACCAACCACTGATTGGGTAAGATGTCATACATCCCTTGTCCTCCGTTGATTTTCTTAGTCATTAAACAATCTTTTCCCTGGGTCTTTTTTAGAGTGCGACTAGGCACATGCGCTGTAAGGGATCTATTTAAGGGAGCTGCACCTGGACACCATTTGTCAATCCTGGAAACATTTGCCTACATTTTTGCTCTATTTGGAATATCTGACAGTTCTTACATTTGAAATGAAAGATTTTACTTGCACTCAATCTCGGTTGTTCAGTTTAGCCCCATAGTGTCGGGTCTTATTTGTATTGTATGATATGATCTTATAGGCAGAGTGAATGCTTAAGTCAGCATACTGGGAAAACCAGTGAAAATATAACATGAAGAGAGAACTATCTTTGCCACCTTATTTCTGCAGGGGAAATATTCTTAACTCTTTCTGAAAAATACGAGTTTTTATGTAAAATGGTCACTTAATGCATTGATATCAAACTTTTTCAACGAGGTTTCCCTTTTGCCTCCCTCATTTTTCATTTCAGGGTTAGAGATGATTAATGCTGCGGTGTCAGTTTGATGTCAGCGTTAAAGATAGCTGGATATCGGAAGCGTTCTGTTTTAATTTAGGCACATTTTGAAAGGAACTCTTCAAATTCTGACTTCAATACAACAGACTCATGATCAATAATGACGAAACAAACAATCAAAACTAAAGCAGTGAGCTGCACATTGCTCTTCTTTTTTGCTTAAAAATGACAAGATTTTTGTGGCCAAATAAATTGTGTACATCTGTGATTGTTAGTTCGGACAGTTTTTTTCGCGGTTTCTTACCGCATTCAACCAGTGGCTGCAAAAAGGAAGTGAGGATATCATGCGTGCAGGAATTTGACGAGATGTAATCTCGATTCATTTGAATTTTTGCTTGGGTCAGGATATTTAAGAATTACGAATTCTTTGTTTTTGTATGTGTTCACCCCAGATATCACCAAACTGCTGGTTATGAATGTGCGCGTTGGATAAAATTGAAGTTTCTACAATATTTTATCACTGCTACAATTGTTACAACTCCTAGTCAACTTCCGATAGTTTGACAGTTCTTTGTGATTTAATGGCGCCAATCTTCTTTGTTAATATATTTAGAGTAGGCGGAATGGTTACACTTGGGGGGCAGAAATTCCACCTTACTTTAATAAGTCAAATAATAGTCGGCGTCGCAATAAGCCATTATGGCAATGCTTAATACGGATAAAAATATCTTGAAATATCCATTGTTTATCAAGCTTATGATCAGCTTCCGGCGCAGAAATAAGGAAGGCTCTAGATTTATTTGTGTTTTGACGTTGCCAAGGTCACTAAGAACAATTCAGGAGAGGAGAATGCTATCCTTTCATGCGTAAGTTTCTCTTGAGTTTCGAACGACCTTAAGCGGAGAAGCATCATCAAAGAGTTGCATCGATAAAAAAAATAAAAGACTGACGTTGTTCACAAAGCTTGTGTGTTCTAGCCTCCTATGCTGCCTAAATTTTGCAGCGCTTGTCTTGTCAATCATAAGCCGAGTTCTTTACGATCATGTTATTTGTCTCCTGTTCTCAATTTGTGAGTTTTCGTTGAAAATGTTAGTCGCTTATGCTGATACTGGGTGGTGTTAAGTATCGCTGAATTCTTGACATCGTATAAGAGAGTGAAAAATAGCCTTCATAAACACCTGATTTGATCATCTTCACATTTCTTTGATATCGTTTTGATGAAAACAGATCTTCCCTGGTTTTTTGTTCTGCGTTTTTGTTTTACATTCTCCCTCCCCCCCCCCCAAAAAAAAACAAAAAATGAAGAACTTAGAGCTTGCTCCATTCCACCTTTTTAAGAGCGAGAACGTATGTGAGAGAATCATGATGGCAGCCAACATGACATAAAACCCCTCTTTCTCACTCTTAAATCTAAATATTGGCCTGATTTTATTTCGTCGTAAACTTTGTTTAGTTCACAAAATTTTTCTCAGATAAATGTGATGTTGCCGAGTTGTCTTGCATTAAAAGCCTGAGTATTGCCTAGAGCATCAAAGAATTTTTCCAAAACTGTTTCATTTTGGCACCGTCATCGTGTTCTAAAAGCGTTCATATTTTAGTTATTCAGTCGTCAGACGCGTAATATACTTGCAGGAGTTAAGGAGAAAATATCCAATTTCATTTCCGCTGTGTAATTTCATGAATATGTCAATTTTATAGTGCTAGAAGGAGTTTTGCAACCAAGATTCTCAGCACCCTCTTAATCACCGTTGTGGTGATGCAAAAGGTCAACTCCAAAGAGACACTTCAGCTTCCCTCGCATTCATCTTTTTTTGGTGAAAGAAGTTGGAAGAACCCATATATACCATGAGAAGGTTTCTCCTTGTCTGCCGTACTACCACTCTCATATTCAATTTTTTTCAAATATTACTTATGTCACGAAATCGTACGAGCTACAACACCCTTTCGAAAAAAAGACGAGAACAAAATTAGCAGTGACATTCTTTTGTTGGTTCGCCGACTGCGGCAAAACTGAGATATGAGTCGCTTTTGTGTTTATCAGTTCTAGAGAATCTTTGAGCTGGTTGATTACAGTGAAAGGAACAGAGAAAGAGAGAGACTCATAGTAACCAGACCTATTGAAACCAATCTGTGCTGAAAATGATCTAAGCGAAATGTTATTCACGCCCAACTGAACAGATCATAGCGGTTTAAAAGCATGTAAAAGAAGCTAAGAGATACTGACTTGTGATTTAATTTGATGTATTCATTGACAAGCTTCTCTCGGATTTGTTGTGGTAACGCTAGACCAGCAGGTTTACTAGCTGCACTTTCAAATTTTTGGACATAACCTCAGACAAGGTTTGAGCGTTTATCACTTATTTAAAGCTTAAGACAAGTTTTTTTTCTGTTTTCCTGAAAATGCCGGCAAGTTTCTTACTTTGTAGACAATGTCCACTGAATTTAAGTTGCAATTGGTTATAAACTCTTTCAAATTTCTCTTTGATAGTTTTGACTCAGTTTCATATCGACGACAGGTTACGTCAAGTTTACTTGGAGATTTTTCTCTTATTTGTATAAACTCAAGCCAAGGTCATTGAAGTTCTTCGGCGAGATTTTTCAAATTTCGTTCCGCATCGCATGTTTCAGTGGTCCAAGTTCCACCGGTGTGCCAAATATAGAGGCGTGTTGTTGATATGTGAGCAAGTTCTGGTAAATCTATTCTAACAATTATGACAAGAAAACGTAAGTGCGCTTCATATTCGACACTGGAATTTGTCGCTGAAGGCTCTGATGTATTCAATTATGTAGACGTTACTTAACAGGCCCAGTAGAATACAGACGTAAATTCTAATTTAGTAAGTCTTCGTAGAGTTCTTCATTTCGATGATAAAAATGACGAACGCACTAAGAAGGTGGCTGAAGGAATAATGTTGAATAAAAAGGAAGAAAATCATACTCACAAAAAATAAGGCAGCCCATGATGATCAAAAAAAATTGGTCAAGGTTGCCTTGCAAAATCTCTATTGGCGTCTTCGCCATTTTGACCTCTGCTTTTGCTGAAGTAATTTGAGTTGATAGAACACACGAAAATATGGAGAGCTTTGTCAGAACTTGCGTGTCTATATTGATAGCCGTGCAATGACTGGGGTAACAAAACGTATTGAATTATGTAACTGTCGGTGTTTTGTCACTAAGCTTGGCCACGTGATTTATTTGTTCTCCGGCATGCACGAGCAAAACAGAATACAGACTTTGAACCTCAAGAATGCAAAGTTCCCACACACTACTTAGAAAATAGAAACAGTTGGTCAATTCTACTCTACGCCGTCACATTTATTTCCTTCCGAATTTAAGGTCATCCTTCCTTTTGATAAACACGCAAAAAACTATATTATAGTCTGTAAAAAGATCTAATAATTTTTACCATTACAAAGTGCGAACGGTGTAGGAGTCAGGAAAATCCTATTCGCAAAAACAGACAGCCAATGAAACAGAGGATCTAGGATAAAGTCTTTTCTTTTTGCCCTAGAAAACTTATTTGGAACTGTTTTAGGTGGGATTAGCGTTCATATCGTAAACCGGTGAAACCGGCTTCACGGAATAACGATTTTATTTTAGTTTCATAAAATAAGCGTCATTGTGTAAACACAGTAATACCTTTCCGCTTGATTTTTGATCTGAACCAATCACAGTGTTTCAAATTGAAAAAAAAAAAGGAGGCATTGTATTGGACTCAATCTCTTGACACGAAACGGAAAACGTGATCTTATCACAAAGTTGTTATTCAGCACAACTTTAGATTTTGGTGAGGGAGCAGCTGTTGTGTTGACTGTTAAGAACTGTCAGACATCAGAATAGTTTACAAGTAGCTAACGACTGAGTCGTTCATCACCTTTGTTGTACGATAGCCTGTTACGTAGCTCTTTTTCGTATGTAAATTTGTACTTGATGGAATAGCGCGTAATATTGGCATCTCTCAAGTTTCACGTTACGTCAACAGAATTTGTCGTAATTGTCTCCGTTTTACAATCTGTTGCTGGTCGAAGCCAATATAACAGATCTTCAGTTAAAAGATTTATTTTCTTGTTCGAAAGGTGGCTAACTTTATTATCTTAAAAATCTGGTGGTATCCGCTCGATGGCGTAGCATCTTTTGTTTATACTTGTCCGCCGATTAGCAACACAACCCTAAGCGCCTCTCATTTGCCCACGAGACACGTTTGCAGGTCTTCAAAAGCTGACGTAAAGAAATATTGAAACACGTACATATCTTTTAGATTGATCAGTGCTTTCAGGTATCCTATTTGAAAGAAGAAATGACGTCTTTCCTCGTTGCTATTGACAATCTCTATTAGCTTTAAATTTATTCGTGTTTTGTGAAATTACTCCCCGAAACATTTCATACAAGTCGCTCCCTGATTACATTTTAGGTGCATTAGATTCCTTGTCGATATGAAAGGAAAATGTTTTTCCACTTGCATTTAGATGCAAATTTAGGCATAAAATCACTAGTATTCAAACTATGAAGAAAAAAATAAGAACTTTGTAGAATAAGATGGACTGACAATAGATTTTAAGACTGTATTTGCCTACTTCAAGATTTTATTGTTCCCAAAAGTAACTATGAGCTTCATACACTCTAAGTGTTGTGGCTCGCGTTTGAGGTTTTTTGGTCACTGCTTCCAAAGTTACGAAACAGAGGAATCGAAAATATCATCTCTGGTAACTAGCGACCAGCGACTGTGTTTGATGAAAATTAAGAACGACCATGATCCTGATGTACTCACATAATTTTGAAAGCGAATTTTAAATCGCACCTTTGAAAACTTGGCATAATAAATGTTTTGGTTATGATATAATAGAAGATAGGAAACTCAAATGTAAATTGCATTTACTAATATTGAGAAGTATTCCCAAGATCTTGCAGGGTAATGCAAGTTTGGACACACTTGCCACCTGGAGGGAATAATGATACAGAGTTTGTGCTCAATGGAGCGTTATTAAAGTCAGTTTTTGTTGCATGGTTTACATCGTAAAGGTTCGCTGGACTTTAAGGAAACATACAATGCATTACTAATAGCAAGCCTTGTGTCTTCGGGTCTTCTTAAGCATTCTTTCTTTTATCAAAGGTTGGATCACTGCATGACTCCTCAAGACTAGATTTTTCTCAAAGGCAGCCGAATAATAATATTTAATGAACAAAATTTCCAGCTGAGTTTCTCTACATAGCAGATGTAAACAGCTGTAAATAGCTGATGTGGATTCCATCTAAGAACCTAACTCTTTCGATTGTTACCCATCCTTTAAAGCTACAAGTTTGTGCTTGTTAACATTGGATTATAATGCTCTCGAAGGCGCTTTATTCACTTGATTCCCCGTTTGCCAGGCGACGCCGGAGACAAGGTGTTCCTGAGTAAGATACCCCACTTCTTTACACTCGGGAGTTTACATGAGTAACTGCAAACTTCCAGTCAAACCTAACGAAATACTCGACAAGCCTAAAATGGAGAAGCATCCCATCCAGGTGTTTGAGCAATGCTCCAGGTCATTTCATGCCTCATATAGAGATAGGGATAAGGCCCTGCAGTGTGGGCCACAGTCCCCAGAGAGGAAACTAGCCCTTCCTGCAACACTGACTATGAAAATAGGTGTAAGCTGTATGTAGTTAAGAAATGTAACATTGACCGCCATCATTGCTACGATCAACTTAGTGCAACTACTATGAACAAAAACAGACTACATTTGTCACTTCCACAAAACAAAAGGTAAAATAGAGATACTAAAACAACTGATTATACGAAAATGGCTGCTTTTGATTGCAATGTAGTCATACGTACGAAAACTACACTTTCCTAAAATAAGGCTTTTTAAAATCGAAGAAGCTATTCACATTCAGTGGGAGAAACCTACTCTTTTTCATCAACTTTATCATGTTAATTTACAATTTTCCTTGTAAATGCATACATTGTTGTGTTATTATTGTTTGTTTTGTCCAATCAGCATTTTGTTACACATTGTAAATTCAACTTTGTACTTTGTATCATCCAGAACTGAAGATGACAGAAGAACTGTCCAAACATGTTGTTGAATTCTAAAAGTGTCGTTAATTTTCTTAAATTCGTTACATATCAGCTTCTATTTGGACCTTTTGACTATTTCCGTAAATTTAAATGTGCGATATAAAAATAAACATCATTGTGTAACAATATTCTGCATGGCCACATAGCAATAATACAGTAATTTACTATTGTAAATTGGCAATTACATTTTTGTTCAAATACATAGCCTCTGAGTGTCATTATCCCTGAAACAGCACAAAATGACATGAATGGTGTCAATGCTCCTTATTCGGCGTTTTTTTCATGTGAAGTGTGTGAGCTTCTCGCTTAATAATAGTAATAATAACTATAATAATAATAATAATAATAGTAATGGCTTTATTCAACATTTCTACAAGGTGGCTCTTCATTTGCAAAATACATCTGCTTAAAAATTCATCTGCTAAATGTAAAGTAAAAACTACATCGAGCTGAAAGGTTATCTCTGACCTTTTTCATCAAATGCTAAAAAGTCATTTTAGAGAACTGGTTAAAGTCAATACAGTTCCTTACACATTCAGGTAAAATACCTGCAGCTTGATCTTGATAAATGTGTGATACCAGTGGGATTTCAAGCTGCACTGATAGCTGCACTGTACCTCAGAGTTCGATTGTGCTCAAATTGCTTCAGTCGCAAGTTACTTGGCCATTCATTCATCGCCAATCGCCTTATGAAATGACTTTAACAACTACCATTGAATATGTTCTTTAACGGGTAACAATTTAGCTTTATGATATCCTCTCTTTCAACAAATTTACCTACAACAAATCTCGCACATGCTGTTTGAATTCTTTGTAGGCGTTTAATAAAGTAATGTGGTATGTAATGATAAAAAACACAATTATAATACAACTTGGAAAGTACTAAGGCCTGAACTAACTGCTTATGATCATAAAATGAAAGAAAATTTCTTTAAGATTCCAAGAGTGCAATAGTAAGAGGCTGAGACTTGCTTAACATTTTATTCCCATTTAAGGTGGTGGTCAATGTAGGTACCTAAAAGTTTTGCCGAAGATACACGCTCTGAAGATGTAGTTCCAACTCTCAGGTCAATGTCAGTGTTGTTAAGTTCGTGATCAGAAGAAAGTTTACTGGAGGATAATAACTAGTACTTCGCTTTGCTAGGATTTAGGACCAAATTAGCTTCGTTCGCCTAGCATTGCATTTTATCCACATTACGTTACACTAAGGTAATGCAAGATGTAAATTCACCAGGCTTCGATGCTTGATAAATGCATCAGCATTTTGATGGCAGGCACAATCAAGTTTCCCATGCAGATCAGCAATATATATGTTAAAAATGAGAGGACCCATGATCGAGCCTTGTGGGACTAAGCTAATGCTAACAGATTTTGAAATACGGTCGTCAATTTGAACAAACTGCTCTCATCCACAAAAGTATTTGACAGTGCATTTAAGGTATGACCTTGAGAATCCAAGAGCATTCATTTTCTCAAGGACAGACCTTTACTTTACAGTGTCAAAACCCTTCAAGAAGTCAGCTAAGACGAGCAGAGTGCATTCGCTCCGGTTCATCGCTTTCAATATGTCATCTTGTATACTTAATAGAACAGATGTTGTAGAGTGGCTTTTCCTAAATTCAGAAATGTTATCTTCAAGGAGATGGTGATTTTCCAAAAACTCATCAACTTGGTTGTGAATAAGCCTCTCGTAGATTTTAGACAAAACAGGCAATACAGAAATTGGTCGAAAATCATTGTTATCTTGAGGACTATCCAACTTTGGATTGGAGCTATACAAGCTTGCTTCCATTTATCTGGAAAGTCACATAATTCTATCATTTAATTTATTATGTCTGTCAGAGGGCTCGCAATATATTCAGCAATAGGTTTTAAAAAATTTGCTGGAATTAGGTCAGGGCCAGGTGATGTGTCAGATCGTAAGAGCTTCAGCTCACGTAAAACCTCATGGAATGTAACAGGCATTTTTCATCGTTTTCGAATTTATAACATCACTTTCAAATATTGATGAATTGTTGTTTTGCAGAAGTTGGTGAGCCAAAATGTCTGCTTCCGTTCCTTTCTGGATTCTGTTTCTGGCGTTTGGTTTGGGCCTTCTATCGAAAAGATCTTATCTTTTGCTTGCAACAGATGATAAATCAATATAGCACGTTATTATGATGATAATTTGAAATACCATTATTATGTAAACGATGCGTCCTAGAGTCGTCTGTTTCGTATCTTTTTCTCGGATGATTTTCTACTTATCAGTTGTTGTTTGTATTCCTTTATTTCTATTTATCAATGTTTCGGTTGTTTTGTCGGAAAATTGAGTTAGGTTTTTCATTATCTGCCCTTGGTCACCAACAGGGACCAAATTAGACGCATTGAGACGCTGAAAAGGCTAATAGAGAATAAATATGTATCTAAGCGAATTGCAGTGGCCAGGCGGCTAGGTTAGATTCGCAGCATTGTGTACGACGACTCACTATGCAATACTACACGTAAATTGTATGGAACATGTGAGTTTACAAACGTTTCTTTTCGACAAATCTATCACTGGACCTTCTCAGAAAAAACGAAGCAGTTTTATAGAGGGTGGAATTGCTTTGCATTTTTTGTACTTTATTTTGGGATTCCAAGCTATCTTATGTATCTTTATCGTTACACGCTCAAGAGCCTAAATGTCAACTTCCGTGTTTTTATGGAGAGATTGTCAAAATAACTTGCATTCTAAACTTGAATCAAAAGGGAAATACGTATAAAGTGTCATGTTTCGTGCCACTCGCCAACGATCGATACAAGCAAGACCTATTTCACGTAGTACACAAATGCGTTAAAATAGTTAGATTGCTGAATAAGAGCCAATATAGCCGGTGTTCGATATTTGTAACCCTCTTGAAACCCGTGATCCACTTGAGACAAAGAAATCAGCATATCACTGTCGTGTTGTTTTGAGAAATCACTTTTGTCGAAAACCGGTCAAACCGGATTTAATAATTATATGTCCACGGAGCCCACTACACCACCTACCTCGTCACATCAGTCGTAACGTTCTCTTGGCCAAAATTAAAGAATAGTTCATGTTCCGCAATATATGATAGTCCCTGCGTAACCATCTTCCCATCTTCTGGAGATCTTTCATGTCTCACAGTCCCTGCTAGATGTGTTCAAGAGCTGTATTTCTATAGTCGTTTCACTTGGCTGTTCTCACGATTTGACTCAAAAACAAGTGAAACATTTGACAAAATATACAGCTCAGAAGTCAGTATCATTAAGGGTCAAAGTCTGGGGTCCACGCGCTCTTTTATTTATGCAAGATAGAAAAACACTCTGCAACACGTGAACGAGATGATAAGCGACGCCGCATAATGCGGCAGTCAATTGCTTCTCTTGTGCTTTCACATATTAAATCTTTCATTTGTCTACGGAACTGTTTGGGAGGCACTTCAATTTCTTCGTTTAGTCATATGTAGGATCCATCGCAAAAATTTCATGTGAGCTGACATAAAATGGTTTTCTTAATCAAAAAGAAAAATAGCTAACATCTAGTGCAAAGTCTAAAGAACCTGGCTGTAACTTGGTTGCAAATTTTAACGCCTGAGAAATCATTGGGCGACTGATTTTTCCGTGGGAGTCCATTATTTACTGTGAGTATGGTACCTTTTTGTAATCATTACACCTATATCTCCTTTAACTGTTTCTGCTGATACCCAGTGGATTTGGACTGAAATTTTGTGAAAGTATAAATTTAAGTTTGAATGTTTCATACCATGTAAAAGTGCCAGCAGCTACCATTCAACATTATGTAATGTCATGTAATAACAACAGAGAGAACAGACTGAAGGGAAAACCAAGAAAGGCCTTTTTACGTGATACAACCAGACAAAAAGTTTTCAACTAGATTTTCAATTATGACTGAGGACAACTGGTGCTTTTATCGCAATGATTAGCCGGCCTTGTATATCGCCCTATAGTTGTAACACTAAAACACGTATATTGTGAAAACATAATTAGTGAGCCTAAAGATAACTCAAAGGAAACAATATCCCGATGGAATTTGAATGAAATATCCGTATGTCTATACCAACCTTCAGGCAGCTCAGCCCCGTGCCAAAGCAGTTATCAACGGTTTTTTTTCCCGGTTGTCAGCTTTAGATGAGACGCTAGTCTTTTCATGTCGAATTACCGGCTACCAATTCAGTCTAAATCGGGAGCTATTATCGGTCAGTTATAAACTGAATACAATATGTTTTCAAAACCTTTTTCCTTCCCTCCTTAAGGCAGAAACACATTTAAGAGAAAAGAAAAAAAAAGGAAGCATGAGTACTCTTGAAAATTCCCTTCTTCTTCTATAACATATTCATTAACGAAGGAAAGTATTTAGAGTTAGCTCGTGAAGATTCCATAATATGCGTGTACGTAAAAGCTCTCAAAAATGATTTTATATCTGTGCATATGGCTTATGTTCCGAAAATTACCTCTAGCGATGTAGCTAAAAAAAGTGAAGATTTTGGGCTTGAGTAAGATATGCACCGGACAATATTTTTCATCTCTGTGAAAGTGTTAGGTTAAGTTTGTCAGTTTACGTATGTTTATGATGTCAAACAGGTAGTTGTAAGAAGTACACCCTAAGCTTCTCACCCCGGGAGGGATCATTAGACGTCAAGCCTAAATTTCCCTTTTTGAGCTCCAAAGTTTCCGGATAAGGACAAAAAAAAGATAAAAAAAAACTTCAAATGTATAAAACTGTGAATTCCTGGAGGAAACTCCCGGTTGCGAATTTAAGATGGCGAGTGAGTTTCAGGGCTTATATTATGAGTGACGTTTCATTTCATTTCTAAGGAGTGTTTGGCAGATGAATAAACTGTAATCACGGAACCACGACTTGAAACTTGATGATGAGGATATTTAGTACACCTACACCTGAATCTCCTGTGTTGTTTAGAAACGTTTTATTCTTAATGCGAGTATACAAGAAATTCAGAAGTTGATGAAATAAAGGAATCATACATCCTCGTGCATACCGAGCTATACATCTGCACAACAGGGAAAGACTGAGCTATTGTAATTTAATCGGTTAAATTGCATTTCTGTGCAAAAAGCGTATAGTTGAAAAACGTCTCCAAGCATTCTTTACCTAAACCTAGAAACAGATTTTTTTTAAACAATTATTTTCATTCGTCAGGCCAAATAACCTCCGTGTACTCTAAAAGCTCTTAAAGTCTATCCATTTCTCCGACATAGGTCGACAATGCATAACTATAAGTTTTGTCTCAATATAAAGTCACCAGAGAAGTTACAGCAAGTGATGAATGTTATACGAACGACTACTATTTTCAGTCTGCTGATATATATCGAATTTATTAGAATTTATCTTGATACCAATGATCAAGTGGTCCGTGAAAATATGTTTCACAGATTAAATGCACTGCAGTGAAGATATATCACCTGGATGATAGTCGAAAATTTTGAGTGGATTCTTATTTGCCACCGAAATATGGCACTTGAATTTAGAAGCTGCGAAATTGTTAACGAAAGCCTTGCACTTCAATATTTCCATGATCAACATCAAAACTGAGTGTCTTTGTCGTTGACAACGGCGGGATTATGAACACCACCTTCCTGATTAGGTCTGACTTCCTCAGTCTGGGGAGCGCCATTCGTTTGGTAATACGGGAAATTGTGTCGAGGCGCTGATGGAGATTCTGACCATCCATCTCCGTAACTGGACAGTGGGTATGCGGGCTCACCATGTTTGGGAATATCGAGACCTAAGGAAAGCAAAAGGAATCCTAAATGTTGACAAAATGGTGAAATATCATCATGTTAAAGAATCATTTTGATCAAAGTTGGTACCACGATATACAATCAAATACCATTCTACACGTTTAACATGGAAGTACTCGTCTTCAATATTTACTCCACTCAGAAACGTAATTCATCAAATTTATTCAAGACAAGGCCACCATTTTTCTATTCAATCTTTTTCTTAAGTTTAATGCAGTGAAAGTATTTACCTTTCAACTCGATTTCTTCACTGACGCGAAGTTGTTTGAGGAGATGCAAAGCAAAGAATAAAATGATAGCCCACGCTGCAGACCAGGCTATGATGACAAGTACACCCAGCAAGTTCCAGCCAAACGCACGGAATGCAAGCTCGTTTCCTTTTACAAATATTCCAGATTCCTTGTTAAAGATGGGGACAGAAAGTACGCCCCACAGGCCACCACCAAGATGAACTGTTGAAAAGAAATAAAAATACTTAAAAAGTTTGCTTTGCTTGCATTTGGATTGCAGCAGCTGTGGAACAACATTTACTTCCCTAGTACATTTACTCTTGTTCGCACAGGTTTTGGTGGCACGGCAGCCCATGACAATGCTAGTTATACTAACACTGAGGGTATCACAGCTTCTACTAACGACTTCATTTTGTTTAAAACGTAAGAATAGCAAGCGAACTTTCATGTGCTTAATGGTTGGTCACTTACCAGCCACAGCATCTAAAGGGTCATCAACTTTTAGCCGCAGCATGGAAGTACTCCAAGCCACGTACGCCAATCCTGCGATGACTCCAATGATCAAAGCAGCATAGGGATGAACGGCATTGCAACCTGCGCACATTGCAACCTAAACAACAGAGAAAAGTTTGCAGAGAGTAACATGTCTTGTTCAAGATCAGAGGCCTAATTCTGGACCACTCAATCGGGAGTGGGGCAAAACAGTGTTGTCAGAAGACTTTGTCTAGAACTGACCGAATACAATCCCAAGCTGTTTCCCTTACCATTCCAGTTAGTCCGCCATTAATGGTGAAAAGCAAACTCCAGTACTTTTCTGCAAAGCCCAGGCGTTTGACAATCATAGCAGTAAGAGCACCTGCGGCTCCTGAATGATAGAAGAAGACTATATGCATTTTTTTCCATAAGCAATGAAAAGAAAAGAAATCATGGAAGATTTAGTGGAGTCTGGCTCACCTCCGAGGATGGTGTTGACTATGGATAATGCTACAGCATCAGCATCGCCTTCATTAGCGATGGCTGCTTGGGAGCCACCATTGAATGCCAGGAAACCAAAGAACAGGATGAATCCTCCCAGAGCTGCTTTCTATGAAATTACAAAGAGAGACTGATTCCACTTCTCAAACACTACTTACAAGACAGAAAGTCCAAAGATAGAATATTTCCCTAAAATATGCGAAGATGAAAGTTTTCTTACCGGTACAGTATGTCCTGCCAGTAGCACTGGTGCACCACCATCAAAACGTCCGATTCTGGGCCCCACGATAGCTGCACCGACCAGAGCAACCATTCCACCCACTGCGTGGACAACCCCACTTCCAGCAAAGTCCTAAAATAATACAAAAGGGCTCAGTCGGTGAAGTTTGCAAGTCAGTGGAACTCTGTTTAACCCCTGTTCAGATCCTATACCAATTGTGTTACGTTATGTTTTGGAACACAAACTTTGCACATTTTATCAACCAAATTGTGCGATTTCAGTGAATGGAGATTTCAGATTTTCAGCGGTTTACCTGGTATGTTACAGATAAGGTTACATTGCCGTCAGTGTACTCCGCACCCTTGTACAGCCAACCATTTCCATCCCAAGCCCAGTGAGTGACTACTGGGTACAAAAATCCTGCAAAAAAGAGCGTCATCTTAACTGGTGCTACGGTTCCTCAACACTGCTACTGTATCTACATTTTAAAGTTTTTAAAAGAAGGCTACCCAGACAATTAGTTTACCAAAAACCTGCTCTCAAGTTTTGTTTAAGCAGTCGATTTAAAGGTGTGTATCCTCGTTATCTAACGAACCCTACGACTTGAAAACAACTAGTCCTGCACTCACCGGTCAAAAACATTGAGTAAATAAGATAGGCTTTAAATTCAGTTCTCTCTGCCATGGCACCACTGACAATTGTTGCTGCTGTGGCCGCGAAAACGAAATGGAAAAACCAATGAGAGTATTTGTCAACTGGTAAATTTGCCAGCGCGAAATACTCATGTCCAATAAAGCCATTGCTTTTTCCTCCAAAGGCAAAAGCGTAACCGAACAACCAATAAGCCACTGCACCAATAACTGTTTGAAGTAAACCAAAATAAACAAAAAGGAATTCAGTGGATAGCAATAGGACGGCAAGTGCTAAGAAATCATTTTTATTTTTCTGTTCTATGACGAAATTGTTTGCAAATAAGTACTGTAATCCCACAGTTTCCAGCTCTCTTTGCTTAATCGTTGGACCCGTGCTCTAAAGCTACCTACGAAAAATTAGTCACTACTTACATACGTCTAGAACGTTCTTGATGAGGATGTTTGTTGTGTTCTTTGATCTTACTGACCCAGCCTCAAGAAATGCAAATCCTGCCTGCATAACTGAAATAATCACAAGTTAAATCAGAATGAGGAATGAATATAAACCATCGTTATAAATATGCTTTCGAAGGGAGAAGTAGAGATCATATCTTTTTCGTTTTCAACTACAAACGACAACCGTTAAAAAAAAAAAAAAAAAAAAAAAAAAGAAAGAAAGAAAGAAAGAAAGAAAGAAAGGACACCAACAAAAACACGATTAGGTGTAAATTTTCACTTGCGGAGGAAGAGTACTCTTTGTTAAGAAGTAAACAGAGGCATTTGGGTAAAGGTAGAGATGAAAGGGAAAAATAGTATGCATTTTAAAATTGATGTCTGCTTTTAGTTAGTTTCTCGAACTTTCGGCTAAGTGTACGAGACTACTGATCTGGATAATTGAGACTCCAAAAACGCCGTGAATCTAAAATTAGATTCAAATAAACAGAGTTCCACTTATTCGGTACATCGTTACAAAGCAAAAGCTCACATCGGTCTTTTAAAAAAAACGGATCGTAAATTTTTTCTCATGTTTTCATCCAATATTTTTTATATATACCTGGGTTTCTTGATATGTTTTTCATCCATTTCATGATTTTCATTAGTTGTTCCAGCTCAGTGCATCTTAAATAAACACTTAGGACTGTTTTGTTGTCTTCAATCGCCAAACAAAAGCATTGCCACTGACCACGATTTGATTATACTCAAGGTCATGATAAGACATAAAAGGTGTTGATTTTGAATGAATGTCAGCAGACTTTAAGTTAATATGTGAGTTAACGAACTTGAAATGTTTCTAGTATCTTTACGCTGAAAACAAATCTGATGTAGTACTTGTGTAACAGACCATCATTCTCTTCATCATACACCGGCTTTCAGTAATGTGAAGCATTTCTTAATAAAATTAAATTATTGACATACCAATCATTTATTCGTGTTTATGATTCTATCAATTTAGCAAATTGAATCAAACCTGGAACCCAATTTACCTACCATTTTGCTCGAACTTGTACTCAAAACTGGCTCTCCCAACATAACGCAAGTTTTCCAATGGTTTTGATCCATAAAACATACGATTTTTTTGGTCGCTTCATTTTTTCATGGCTACTCTAACCCTTAACCCCTAAAGCTAGAGCAAAAAGTTAGAAACTAATGATAATTATGTCCAGTAAAGAACACTTTTACCTTGTAGCTTATTAACAGAGCAATAAATGGCAAAGTGAATAAGCAACAAAAATACAGTATCTGCAATCAGTCGGCTGGCATAATCACCATTTCTGGTTGGAACAGTCAATGTTTTGTATCTCAAAATTTTCAAAACCGTAAAGAATTCTATTAGCTGGTGCACAAAGGAAAAAAAGAGAATTTTGTAGATGCTTTCTGAGATAAGGAGAGTTCATAAGTCCATTAAGAACTCAGAAATGTTAATTGTTTTTTAATTGAGACTTGAAAATTCAAACAAATATACATTGATGAAAAAGGCAGATGTGCTTAGTGCACATGCTGCATCCATGAAAAAGGTTTGCCTCTGGTACTTCCAACATAATTCCAATTCAACAAGTCCGTTTTGGCTTTCCTTTCTACTGATAAAGCAAACAGTTTTAAGTTCTGCAGACAGGTGTTCATTTCGCAGTGGTGATAAACAGATAAATATGCAGGCTTAATTTACTTTACCAATATCCCACCACATTTATTCAAGGCGCTAACTCAGTAAAATAATGACTTCTGATTTGAACTGAGAAAACCATAACAGATGATTTCATAACTATATTGAAACTGATCAATCTTCAATAGTGCTTTTATCAGGGGAAAAATTAATTCTGGCTAATTTAAGTAGTTGAACTGAAGTCAAGTTTCCCATTTCCTCTGATTATCTTAACTTATTCCTCCTTCCATTATTAAGATTATTTTTTTGAACTGAAATTTAAGGAATTCTAAATTCAATTCTTTTTTTTTTGTTTTTAAGTCATTTTAGTCCGGAATTTCACCCGACATTCTTTTAACATCAATGGCTGAAAGCAACATTTATTTCGTACCGGGAACAATTTTTGACACTTTCTGAGTCTGCAGAGTGTGTCATTGCTTTTCATATTGGTAGTTTAGACCCCTAAATTAGATCAATGTTTATCGCTGAGACATTTAATTCGAAGGATGTGCGATTGTAAACAACCACACTGTCTATGCAAATAAGAAATGGTCGGGATCCGTTTGTGAGTAAAATCCCAATCATCTCCGAGAATTTTCTTTTAACTGTGATAATCATTTTTGACAGCAGTCGTTCTTTCCTTAAACTCAGGGTTGAAGTGTCACGTTTGAGATCTCAAAGAGATAACTTTTAAGAGTGTGTTTGAAAATAACTTCGCTTCGGGCTCTCGTTATGCTTGTTGTTCATCTGACCTCTTACGTCAATGTTGCTTTTCAATGCAGACCCTTTAGCGATTTTACTTATCTTTAGACATCTTCATGTAAGCACTGGGTTATATACTCTGATTTTGCTTGAAAGAGCTTCGTGAAATATCAAATGACGAGGGTATGGCTCAATAATTCGCCATATTTATGTGGTTGAGGGCACAAACTTAATTGCCCTCTTCCATACTACATACGTCTACAGAATGTTTAGACTCTCCGGGGCTATATATCTTCGTCTGTTTTCACTGTATCACCTGCAATCTCCGTGGTTTTACTAATTTCATAGTACTCGTGAAAACAGTGCGATTGTTTGCGCTAACTCGTCAAAATTATGTAAATGCTGAAAAAACAGTGTACGATTGTGCTATTATACATGTTTAATACACTGGTGTATGTCTACTAACAAAGGGAAGTCCTTGATGCATTAGTCAGAGGTAATTTCTGCTGCATCCAGTTGTTCAGGACATACATCTCTAAAAACCCGGTGAAGATCTAATTACACACGTTCTTCTCATTCCTTAGGAAGTATGTTTTGATGCGTGCGGAAGTCGTTGCGTAAATTTTAGCCGGCTTCTTTCCCCCACTTGATGGAGGAATCAAGTTTAATTTGCAAACAGAGATTCTAGTTTTCAAAACTTTCACATACCTTTCGCACAACACACAAGGTATCAGCAATATAAGGGGAAAAAAATTGACAATACTATCTAAAATAATATACTCACAGAAAATGAGGCATCCCATGATCACCAAAAAGAACTGATCAAGATTTCCGCGCAAAGCGTTAATGTCGTTGTTGAGTGCGGTAACGTTAGCCATTTTGAAGTGGTTCAGTAAGAGTCAGTTCTGTTGTAGATGTTGGAGCTAGTAAAATATTAAACTAGACGGCGTTTATAGTGCCTCCCAAGCAACTACTCGTTGCTAACTGGCGGGTGACTAATTAACAGGAGCAAGCCAAGGTGATGTATTAATTAAAAACACTTTTAGTGTCACCATTGGCTGTTGCCCACGTGATTGGACTTGCCTCTACGACACGGATGAATAACATCTGCGCGTGAATATTTCGCTTTGAATACCGACCTTCAGCCCCCTTAGACATAGATTTTGCACAGTATCATTTGTGAACAGAGCTTCAGTTAACGCACTTTCTGGTTAATCATTAATTCGGTAGCATTAAGTGTGTGTGTCTTTTCAAGGAGCATTCCATCGCCACGAAACTCACACCACGTTTTGTGAGAGAGATGGGAAACTCTTTGAGTATATATGTTTAGAATAAATTTCATAAACGAGTTATCGACTTCGAGACAGTGTTTTGTTTCCACGGTGATGTCGATGACTGATCGCATACGTAGTTAAATTAGACCCCCGTCAGTTTACAAACGGACCTTAACCTCACGAAATCGACCTCCTCGCTCTTAGACTAAAAACTTCGACAAATTGCCTTTTAGTCACTTGATGAGCGATCCGTCATGTCTCTTAGTATAACACAACCCAGTAATTGCTTCGGGTTAGGGTTAATCACGCGTTGAAAGAGGCTGTCATCATCTAATGGACGTACCAGTCCTGTACCACGCATATCAAACAAGTGAAGAAAACAAACATAAAAACAATTAGGGATATTTTTGCACGTGAACAGACGAAGCTTATCTTTAATGCCACGAGTTCCGGATGCGTTCCAAAAACGTGACCTGGCGTGTGAGGTGACTGGAATGCGAGGCAAAGTCCACGAAATTTTTTTATAAAATGTAAAATGTGTAGTCGGAGAAAAGCAGAAGACTATAGAGAAAAAAAAAAAAAATGATTCTCCTCAATGATACTTGCGAACTTGGGTAAAATTTTCTTGAATTAATAGCCTTAAAAATTGGTAGGAGGCCGCTACATTTACATCACCGAGTTATTTCCCTTGCCTGGTATTCTGAGAGAAAAACGTTTGATAAAGGAGAACAAGTAAAGGAAAAATTCTGATTTCCTTGTAAGAATTCTGACACTCCATGTCCAGACGTCTTATGTTTCCTTTGCACATGCGCGAAAGGGACGTAGTGCTCTGCCATGTCTGCTTTTTGGTCCAAATCAAAATACATCTGAGACGTCTCTACTGCGTTCAATTGTCTTAACCACGTCACAGTTAGGATGAAAAAAGTATTGGATACTTGAGTGCGCGGAGTCACGCAAGGTAGATACAGAATGTCTTCCTCTCCTCCAACGTGTGTTCCTTTCCTCTCACGTTTCCCCACTGCCATGTCGTCCAAGCCCCGTCACCTTTAAACTGAGTGACTTCACTCCTAGGCGTGCACACCGCATCCCATGCAAGGTCAACTAAATTTATCGATTAGCTATCGCGATCCATCAATATCACAATACTTACCTAGTGAAAAACCAATTATATCCTGAGTCTTTTTGACATTTTCACACTTGTTGGCTCCTAGAGGAATTTTGCATGTTTCTTGTTCGCTCAGATCACTGTCAGTCACGTCAGGTAGGAACGCGTGTTGTTTTCGATCCGCTTGGAAGTTTCCCTACATTAGAAATACTTTGGTGAGATTTGTTACCATCTCCTCCTTCCTCGTGCGTTTCCACTCCGGCACCTGTCACGACAATTTTTATTTACCAAAGTGGGCTCTCCAGCTAGGAAATGCCTGTTTCCCTACCTTCTAAAGCAATTTCAATTTTAAAATTTCCAGGAAAGTGTACTAATACATAGAAATAAGACGTTTTAAGTACATTACTGCCTCGAAAGGTAGTCATTTACTTAAAGTGACATGGTAAACAGTATCCCATTACCCCTCTTCCTTGGTTGGGCCTGAATTTTCTTATCACTTGTGTGTGAGTATTTTCCCTCCCCCTGAGTAGGATGGAGATTCATCACATGTCCACCCCCTCCCAGCTTTTCTTCCGGTTTGACTAACTCTTTACTGGTACTTAATCATACTCTTAGGTTGGGGAAGGGGGGGGGGGGGGGGGAACAGTGTGAGACACAAGACAATGATACAGCCAGGTTTCGTGCCAGCAGAGCCGTTGTGATTCTTCGTTCCAGACTAAATTAGGAAGGAAACTAGTACAATTTCCTCCTAGATCAATAATCGATAAATGCGTTTTAAAAAATTTAATTCCCGAATCGTTATCTCTCATTTTCGTTCAATGCGTGTTGCTACACACTTTTTCCACGTGTAGCGTGACGCGTTCAGATCTATTACCCGAGAAACACTGGGAACAAGTTAAGAAAGAGGTAAAAACATGGCGGCAGAATATCAAGACTGTGATGTGGCAATGATGGCCTGTTAATTATGATACCTATCAGCAACTTGATTGATACTTACCTTACCGATCGCGTTAACTTTCGTTTGAAGAAGAAATTGACCTTACGGCGGCCTTGCGACAATGGCATACCATCCAAATGTTACATCTTAATCAACCTTCTAGTTCCCTGATTTTGAGGTAACCAATATTAGTTTACATCAAAATCTAACTGATGAACCTGTTGTTTTTAAGTAGTTTTTGCCTCCTGTTGATGTCAGTTGCCATTTGAGCCTCTGACATAATCAGGGTTAACGATTTCCTTTTAGACAAGATCTCATCAATTCCAATTTGACCTGGGAACAGCGGACGTGAAGAGGCAACTCGTGGAATGACCACTGCTGAACCTCATGTATTTTTTAATTTTTGTTTTATTAGGACAGCAAATTATAGTTTGACATTATACTTGTAGTAAAATAATTTTATGATAAATTAAAATCTCCATAAAGAAGAGGGAATTTCAGGCGAGATTTATCTCCTACGCTTAATTTTCTTGGCTTTTATAGACTTTCAAGGAATTTCGAGAAACTTTTAGTTTTGTATGCAATATATTTGTATTGTTTCGACGGTTCTTCTGTCATCTTCAGTTCTGATTTATACAAAGTACAAAGTTGAATTTGAAGTGTGCAACACAATGCTGGTTGGACAAAACAAACAATAGTTACAAAACGATGTATGTATTTACAGGGAAATTTTTAAATTAACATGATAAAAATGATGATGAAGTGTAGGTTATTCCCATTGAATGTGAATAGCTTTGTTGATTTTAAGTTGGAAAGTTGTGGAAATATGATCTAAGATGATAAAACACTCATCAGAATATAGAGTGTAACATTATGGAGAATTATGTAGATGTCTGAAAATGTGAGAGGACCTATCACTGACCAAGTGCTCATGCATGCATGTGGATAAATGCACAAAGGTTTCGCTGATATAGCAGGCATTGTAGTCTACATATAAAAACTTATAAACCACACACGTATGGAGCCCATGAAGGATAGGGTCTTTCACACCAAACATATCACCTATTTTAAAAGATAAAAAAAACCAACTTAATATTGATGTTGTTACAATAATGCTTAGCAAATTGGTTAACCCTTTTTTGTGTGACAACGTAATATATTTGTACTAATTAATCCTTTGGTAGCAATAAGACATCTCCCCGCCCCCCCTCCCCCCCTCCCCCCCCCGGCAACCCTAGGGCATTTGAACTTTTAGAGAATGGTTCATTTCAAATTTCTTTCCCTATGAGTCAAAATTTTGTATTTACTAAAGATTCTAATTGATTGGTGCATTATGAGAGTATGGTTCTTAAACTGATAGGCAGGTAAGGGGTAAGCTTAGGGTTATGATGTGGTTCTTTTTTTTTTTTTCGGTGTAACTGGGTGTGGAGGACAATGGAAAAACACAAAGATATTGCATGACTTCTTATGAGCTGCCACAGGACAGTGGTTTAGTGTCAAAAGAGCACAGCTGGGGAGAAGGAGCACATGCCATAATACTTTGCCCTTTAACTCCCAGGATCTTACTGTTAATTCTCTCCTCTGGCTGCTACACATTTCCTTACAAATAGGTTCTGAGAATTTGGTGTTAGATCATTGGTGTTGGATGAATTTGATGAGTTTTAGTATTCTTCTTACCTGTTTTCTGGTTTATGTAAGGAAATTGTGGGGAGAAGTTACATGTTTATCAATTTTGGGAGTTGAAGGGTTAAACTTCAGGCAATCTAGTCTAATTTTTATAATGTATTCTGCATATAATATCATGCAGTGTTTATCATTTTTTTCAGTGTATATCAAGTGGTAAGCGTGAACGGACGACAGAGTCCAGCTGAATCATCCCACAAAAAAGTGTTAAAATTGAGAGAAGATAAGACAGAATGGAAGACGTTAAATTTGGAAACCAAAAGGAACAAAAAACAACAAATCCTGTCAGAGATGGAAAGTACTTTTCAAGGGATGCAGATGCCAGAAGGAGGCGTACAGACGGTAAGTGTACAGTTTCAAGTAAAATTCTTTTCAAAGGCTCATGGAAAACTTTAAATTTTTAGTGCACATAGTAAACATCCAGAAAAACCTTAATGTCACTCACATATTGCAATCCTTTTCAACTTAGCTGGGAGGAGCTGGGTTTCATCATATTGATTCATTTAAATACTATTGTAAAAGTTTAACCAGATGGTTACGGAAAAAAACAGGCTTGCCACAGTTAACAGATTATTCAATGAAATGAATTTGTTAAAAGTTGAATTTTTTCGTTGGGTTGCTATTCAAACACACAGGCTATACACCTTTTTCTTTTATTTTGTTCTCATGATAGAAGATTTTATTGGAAAGCCTGAAGTTGAAGCAAAGCGTCCGTTCGACAATGATGGTGTCTATGAGTGTGAGGGAGCCATGGAATTTTCAACCCAAAAGGATCGCATGACAACAAGCATGGTATTGATTGTAATACTGCTCCTTGTAGTTACGGTCTTTGGAGCTGGGATTTTATTCTATGGTCAGCTAGAAAGCACTGCTAATATTAGCCATGAAGAGTCGGCTCGCACAAGGACTCTAACAGATAAACTTCATGAGCGAGGTCAAAGAGCCCGCGGTAAGTTTTGTTGTATCGGTATTGACTTTAGGTTAGGACTCTTTCGATCAATTAGCCAAAACCATCATGATAACATGAGCCAGTGAGGACAGTAAGTGCACTATAAAGATAATCTGCTCAAAGCGCGGGAAAGTTCTGGTGACTGAGTGGAGGATGATTTTTGATTGGTTAAAGGGCAGACAACCTTATGGACTTGAGGCCTGGTGATGTCAGTAATAGAGTTTCATAGCTGACGTTTCGAGCGTTCGCCCTTCATCAGAGCGAGTATATTTCTTATATTTGCAGTACTTTGCAAGAGCCGAATCGGGCTTGATCAAAGTGATCAGTGGAAATTTCATCAATACTGCAATTCGCAACCTTTTATTGAGTTATTTTTTTTCATAAAAAAATAACTGTGTTAGCTTATAGAGTGGTATGTTGCTCGCACCAATCAGATCGCGGCATTAGGGTATGTATCTCGAACCAATCATATCATAGCATTTGAATATCCTAAACCAATCACAGCGTTTGGGCGTTGTTTTCTTGTAAATGATGTCATGGATCAAGGGGCTGTGCACAAAGAGTGACATTAACCAAACATTTTGGGATCATTTGATTAGTGTAATGATTTGTGGCCATCGTGAGAGCCTCGTCGATTAAGGTCGAGAGTTATGGGGGGTATTAAAGGTAGACATTGAAACTTTTAAGTTAAAACGTGTTTTTTCCGCTCCCTAATTCACAACGTACACGCCAAACAACTTACATTTCATTACGTACCATGAAAGCAATGTGTACTCATCAGAACATACCTAATCATTGTCCTACACGAACATTAGGCAATTTTTCACGTGCTTGAATTGTATTCCACTAATCAAATTTCATTTTGCCACATTGGACTTCGCTCTACCACGTGTCATTTTCTTGTTAACAACCTGCATTTTTGCAGCTAAGAACACTACTGAAACGCGTAGTTGAGGCCCGCACGGGATTTGAACCCATAACCTCTGCGATACAGGTGCAGCGCTCTACCAACTGAGCTAACAAGCCAACTGGGAGCTGGTCAATGTGTTGGGTCCAAATAAACCATCCAAGTAATGAATGATGATTTAAGATATATGAAATTCATATATTTTCATTGCGGTGATTAGATGAAATTAAGAGATCCTCGCAGGTCCTATTTTCAACTACTCGTTTCAGTAGTGTTCTTAGCTGCGAGGATCTCTTAATTTCATCTATTCACCGCAGTGCAAATATATGAATTTCATATATCTAAAATAACCTGCATTTTATTACGTATTCTATCTGCTTTGTCCAGCCCCACTGAAAAAAATTCACATGGAACTAAATGCTACTGATGTTGAGTTTTCCACGCAAATCTCCCGCGTTTGACTTTTCTACGAAACAAAGTCACTTTAAGCTACCTTTAACCCAATTGCATTTTAATTCCTTGTAAAACAACCTGCATCATATCTTTGGTTAGGTTCTGTTAGAGGTACAACAGAATTTCAGTTTGCTTTTCGTGATAAAATTAAGCGGAATTACATTTTTGAGGTAACTTACTATAGACGAGTAATTTTGATTTTTTCTCTGTTAGAGGAACGGCAGTAAGCGTAGTCTCTTTCGCAACCGTTATTTAGTCTCGTTACGCAACCCGCGCTCTCTCTCAAACGGGAAATAGAGGGCGTTGTGTGACGAGATCAAACAACGGCTGCGAAGGAGACAACAATAAGCGAGTCACCGATGCGTTTCATTTTAACTGAGAAGTATTTCGGTAAGAGAGACAATAGACCACATAATATCTGTGTGAGTTCAGATAAATTAGGTTTTTTCTGTCTTTATGCGATATTTTCGTTTTTTGAAAGTTATGCTCTTTTCGGTGACAAAAATGAAAACATCCAGAACAAACTGTCCCATCTCAACTCACCTAGCGGTAAAAATAACTCTTGCATGCAATGCATGCCTATGTTTTTTTAAAATCTGCAAAATAATAACCTTCTCTTACCTTTGAATTTCTCTGGGTGTGGAGTGATTAGATGGGTTTTTGGAGGAGTTGATTCCACCCTCTTCACTGTGTTTCTCCTGATACAAAACAATCAAATAGATCGCGCAGTTTCCAGGACTTCTCAGGGCTAAGAACCTCTGGAACTTCGCTGAATTCCTCTTACTCTCACATGTCGCTACCCTTCTGGCTTCAGACTGGTTTTGAATTCGAGAAAGATTCATCAAAGAAGACCATTTCTGTCTAATCATGTATACGTGGCAATACTGTGTGCGAACTTCGGAAATCAAGTAGACTTTTGAGGTAGTAAGAGACGTTATTGCGATTACATTTGATATGGATCTTGCATATTCATCAAACTTAAACACAAAATCATTTACCGTATCAATTAAAATGACGCCACCTAGCCTTAAATTCCTGAGGGTTGGCTGCCTGTGATTGGTTGACGTGGTGTGGCGTCAGGTGGCGTGAGGTAGAATGAGGTGTGAGATGCATGGTCCAGTCACCCAGCTTGATAATTCACATTTGAGTGAAATATCAGATTACATCATCACACAGTTAGAAACAGCTTTTTTTTTAACCTCACAAATGAAAGAGTCATTATCATTTACGAATCTACAGGAAAGCCCAACCACAAGCCACGAGAGTCGGGTACGTCAGTTCCTGTGGAGGAATTCGAAGAACATATACGGCGTCTACACGCCAACGACGGTTTGTTATTCTCTCACGAGTACAATGCTCTCAGTCCGCAGGCTGATTTCACATGGAAAGCTAGTTTGGCGCGGGAGAACATGCGCAAAAACCGTTACATCAGCATTGTTGCGTACGACCACAGCCGAGTAAAACTGTCACCGATCCAAGGTGTTCCCGGGTCTGATTACATTAACGCCAACTTCCTTGACGGTTATCAGAAAAAGAAGGCGTACATCGCCACCCAGGGACCCTTACCAGAGACCGAAAGCGACTTTTGGAGAATGATCTGGGAACAAGACTCGAGGACTATTGTCATGGTTTGTATTTATTACGGTGTTCATTATTCCGTTAACCCTGTGAACTCGCGATGGAATATCAGAGTTTGACATCAGCTTTTGAGAATCTGTCAAATTCAATTAGAATTTGTAAAATTTCAGTGTCAATTTTGATCGATCGAAATGTTTGAAGTGTGAACCCGCCATATTTGTTCCTGTTCACTTATCTTCTGATTTCCTCCTGCTTTATCATAAACCTCGTCTGTCCATCCCCTCCCAGGTAACAAACTTGGAAGAGCGTGGTCGTATTAAGTGTCACCAGTACTGGCCGCCAGAGGGTGCGAGGGTATATGGCGACATCCAAGTAACACTGAAGCAAGCTGTGAAGCTCAGTGATTTTACCATCCGTACATTGAATCTCAAGAAGGCTCATGGTACAGATGAAAGAACAGTGAATCAGTATCATTACACAATATGGCCAGATCATGGTGTTCCCACTAGTCGTTCTTCACTCCTCAAGTTTGTGAGAAAGGCTTCTGAAGCAAATCCACCTGATGCGGGTCCCATGGTATGTACAGTGTTACTGTCTACCATTAAACGCTCTCTCTCTCTCTCCCCTATATATATATATATATATATATATATATATATATATATATGTATATGTATATATATATGTGTATATATATATATGTTTATATATATATATATATATACTGTCTACCATAAAACGCTCTCTCTCTCCCCTATATATATATATATATATGTATATATATATATATATGTTTATATATATATATATATTCCGTTTCTTGATTACTTGAAATGTCTAGCTTTCGTTCTTTAATTAAGATATAGAGAAGAGTTATAAAGAGAATAATTACAATACGATAAAGAAAATGGAGAAGGGCATAATATAGCAAACTAATTAGATGCCCTTTAGGCTAAATTACATTTTTTCAGACAGTAAAACAAAAGCGATACATACATAAGAAAGGGAATAGGAATCACACCTTTAACAACAAATATATTAATAGTGCATGGTCAAGTTTCCTTATAGACCGATTTTTATTCGGGTCGAAAAGTATCCAAGGGCTTGTTTGGTTTTCATTTGCTTCCCATTGGTCCAGCAACTTCTACCCGAATAACTGATCAGGAGCAAAGCTATGGCGACTTCTCACCCACTTTTTTCCGCGCTACAAGCAGAATGCTTGCTTTTACTTTAAGCTCTTCGAAGATAATTTCCTTGGCTCTGGTCAGCCGCTGGGACTATTTTGATATTAGCCAACCCAATAGAAAATCCTGCTATTTATACTGATAGAACTTAGCTTCGGGTTCTGTGTGAACCTACCTAAAGTTGAGAAATGTTGTTGTTCAGATATAAAGGATAGTTCAGGTGAGTGTTGTAGAGGATGAGGATTGGGAAAACGAAGCGATTTTTTTGAAGATACTAATCTGAGCAAATGCTCTTTCGGACTGCAAACAATCCATGCTGTACCCTCCACTATGTTAATGTAATCCAGGCACTTGTATACACAAGCATTCTGCCAACTAAACAGACTTCAGACAAATAGCGCAAGTTGTTTTTCAGCCGTGTTTCAGCCGAGTGATTATTTGATTGACGACTGGGATAGGTTCCTTTCTAGCCTACGAGCAGGCGCTCATTATTAACACTTCGGCAGGGGCGGTTCTTCGGCAGGGGCGGTTCTTCGGCAGGGGCGGTTCTTCTGTGGGAACGGCTCTTCGGCAGGGGCGGTTCTTCGCCTTCGGGAAAGTATGAAGCCTTGAGCAACATGAGGGAGGACTACAAGGGGCAGTTTAGCACAGTCTAGCACAGTCTGGCACTGATTATTAGCGTTAGACCTTCAGCAAACCTCTTCCCAACTCGGGGTGGAGCAACGTGCAAGGCAAATAATGAGGACATGCTTACTGGCCAGTCATCCTTTCACGCTCGGAATAATTGGTTTAAGTGGGAAGAAAGTGTTTTGTTTCATTTTTCAAGGAACCACTCACTTAAACTGATTTGTTGCTTTTACTTTTATTCGGGTCGTTGGTCTTCGAAGGAAAACTGTAAGTAATACCTGGCAAGGGTAGACAAACTCCAGAGGGGTAAGAATGAATTAAAAAGGGAACAAGAATTTATAAAGATAGGGATAAAATTGTAACATTTAACAAGATGTGATGTAGCCCTTTACCAGTTTTGGCGTCTGTTTCCTCAGGTTGTTCACTGCAGTGCTGGGGTGGGCAGGACTGGTACTTTTATAGCAATACATGCCATGTTACAGCGTCTTGCTGCCGAGAAATCAGTCGATGTATTTGGATACGTTATGTCACTGCGACGTGATAGAAATGCCATGGTATACGTACAGGAACAATATGCTTTTATTCACTATGTTCTGTTGGAGGCCATCAAGTCTGGAAACGCTTGATACGTGCAAATATCTTAGATCACATATTGATAATAATAATAATAATAATAATAATAATAGTGATATTAATAAAAATAGTAATAGCAAGGCAGAAGACAACCCCAGTGAAGTGTTTCAAATACTGGTATCTTAGAGAGTTTAGCTTACTTAAATAAATAAATTCAATAAATAAATTATTATTCAATAAATTGAATAAACATTTCCATCCAACTTTTTACACAGCTTTTACCGTTTATTTCTTTTCTCACTCCTTTTTACATTTGTACAAGTTTAACGTTATACTTACTAGTGCTGCAGTCAGTTGTCCTGTTTGAAAAGGAAATCTTCGCTCTGAACTAAAAGCCTACATAATCCTTCCAACTTTAAAAAAAATGTACATAAGAGAGCGTAAAACACCCCTCCCTCGAAACCAACTCAGATTTTATCCAAAAGAAGGTGATCTACGTGTGTCAAATAATCTCCAAATAAGGAATAAATATATGGAAACTAAACTTTCCCCGAGCCTAGCTTTATTTCGATCTTTGTATTCTAAATCTTTTTAGTCGCCAAAAAAATTAACATGAAAGCGAAAATTCTCCTTGTGCAAAGCAATTCACTCAGATTTGAACATAACGATGCGATATTTCGATCTACCTTCGTCAGGTTACTTATTTGCCCCCAACTTGAAAAGTTAAAATATGAAAACGCCTCCTAAGTACTCAGATCTGCCTAAACGATTCTTGTGTCATCTGTGATCTTTTCATCTTTGTTTTGTCTTTGTTTCATACTTCAAACTTGAAAAGTATCAAATACAGTGGTGGAAACTCTCAACGTGCTCGGCAGCGAACTCAGGTTTGGTCGAAACGATCATCAAAAATCCACTTTATTTATAGTCAGTATAATGCAAATTAAAAATTATTAAAACTGTGCCTACTTATTAACTCGAGTTTTCCCAAAAATGAACCTCAAAACTTGATTATTGTTCTACGACCTGCTTCTCATTTACAAAGTTGTCATTAAAATGCTGTATCTACTACTGGACTTGAATTGTTGCCATCAACAGCTGGATTGGGGATGACGTTTTCTTCAACATCAGTGAGCTGGTCATTCTGAACTGGATTGAAAGCTTGGCCGTTGTGGATTGAGCCATTTGGATGTTGGCCATTTCGGAGTGAAACATGGCTCGGCAGAATAGTAGGGCTCTGAGTAAACGGCAAGGTTTGCCTCTTTGCTGATGTAGATGAGGACCAGCCGTCTCCATAGCTATCCAGTGGATATGCGGGCTCACCGTGTTTCGGAATATCAAGACCTGCATCAAGGAAATGTTTTCGCTTTGTGACTTTCATCCGATTACTATTATCAAATATCGATTTGAAGAATCTAAAGTCTTACTTAGGAATATCTTTTTGATAGTAAGAATAGTAATAATGCCAGCATAAACCACCTAGCAAATCCTCTCTCGGCCCCAATCCCCATTCTAAAAATTTACACTCAAGCTTCTCACCTTTCAACTCGATTTCTTCGCTGACTCGAAGCTGTTTTGTGAGGCGCAAAATAATAAAAAGGATGAAAGCCAGTACTGAGGACCAAGCCAAGATGACAATTACTCCTAGCAAGTTCCAGCCAAACAAACGGAATGAATGTTCGTCTGCGGCGTAAAATATTCCAGATTCCTTGTTGAAGATGGGAACAGACAGTACACCCCAAAAACCACCTCCGAGATGAACTGAAAAGAGATAGGAAAAGCACAAAAACAACGTCTCAAACATGAGCACTGAAATCCGAATTATATCAAATAAATATATGAATAGATTGTATTTATCAATCGACGGAGTTGCACATTCGTGTTCATTGGAGAAATGACCGCTTCATTTACACTCTGTATAAGAGATGTTAAGGAGATTCTTTCAGTGGTGAATTAATGTGCAACTCATCTCCCTTTTCCTTCCATCCTTCAAAGATTAGGCTATGTTAAAAGCGGTTTAGAGCAGTTAACATTCACTTAAGGTTACGTTTGGTTCTTCCATGTCACTTACCAGCGACAGCATCTAGGGGGTCATCAATCTTTACACGAAGCATGACAGTACTCCAAGCCACGTACGCCATCCCAGCGATGATACCAATAACAACAGCAGCATAGGGATGCACGACATTACAACCTGCGCACATGGCAACCTGAAAAAAAACAACCTCATTTAGGTCAAGTGTAAAGCTGTTTAAGGAATATCTTGTTCTTTTTTTTCTTCAGGACAAGGAATGTCTTCCATAGCCGTTTTTTATGGCAACTCTGAACATTTTTAACTTACCATTCCTGTAAGTCCACCATTGATCGTGAATAGTAAGCTCCAGTACTTGTCTGCAAATCCTAGACGTTTGATGAGCATGGCAGTTAGCGCACCTGCAGCTCCTGAAGAAAAATCGAATAAATAAGATCAATTCACTATTCTTGTATGTTACAGAGTGTGACTTGTCGCTTGTCGTGCAACAGTTGTTGTTGACGTATGCGGGTGGTAGTGTGCATTCTTCGTAAGATGTACGTTATTTGCTAACGTTACAAACTTCCTTTCCGCTTAGTCTAAAGCTTATGGCGGAAGTTTGCTTTATGCTGACAGCAAGTACGGAATACCATTGATCGCAGCCTCACGATTTAATTTTGCTTTCGAGTCGGACTGACTGGGTGGATGGCGCGAGTCGATTCTTGTTTTATGTATTTTGTTTCATGTTTTTTTTGTCTTTGAGAAAACTATTTACGATTACTTCCGACACTCACCAAAACTTTCTCAATGATGGGCTATGATTTTAACGATTAAGTACAGGGGACTCACCTCCAAGGACAGTGTTGACAATGGCCAATGCTACAGCATTTGCATCACCCTCATTTGCAATGGCTGCCTGAGAGCCACCATTGAATGCCAGAAAACCAAAGAACAGGATGAATCCTCCCAAAGCTGCTTTCTGAATAGTGTAAGAATAAACGATTAATTCACTCATGGCTCAGACCTGATGAAAAAGAAAGGGGCATCAGTTGCACTGCACTGATAATGTCCTAAAGCCTTGGTCTTACACCCTACACATTTAGCTACTATCCCTAAGGATAAGACGTCTCCAGTCACAAGGTAACGAAAGACCAATTATAAGCGATAAAACGACTTGAGATTAATTCTAGTTCAGTTTAAGCGCAACCAGCTTAACTATATTAGCAGCAAGAATTCCTCATTTCGTGCAAATACAATCGTATAGATATTAAATCTCCTAATTATAAATAACAAATTAAGTTACTTCACCGGCACTGTATGGCCTGAAATCACTACAGGGACACCATGAACGAATCTTCCTATTCTTGGCCCCACAAGACCTGCTCCAACCAACGCCACAGCACCACCAACAACATGAACAACCCCACTACCAGCAAAGTCCTGTAAAAGGAAACGAAAGTGTAACAGAAACACTAACAGTAACAACAGTCACTACAAGAGTGTACAAGGAAAAATAAACTCCAGGCACTCCAACATTAGGTTCACTAAGGAAAAAGAGATATATCATAAAATACCATTCCTAAATGTTTTAATCAACAATGACACCCATTTTCCTGTTAGAAGTGTTTACAGTGAGAAAACCTTCACGGGCCTGTTGACTAATTATTTAAACTTTGTATCTTATTCTTATAAACTGGGTCTCATTCGCACTCTTGTAGATAGAGCCTACAAGATCAACAACTCATGGTTGGGTTTCCACGAAGATACCAAGAAACTTACTGAAATCCTTAAAAAAAATCTTTTTCCAGCCCATCTAATTGAAAAGGTTGTCAGTCGGTACCTCACGCTAACCTGTAACGAGTGCACTCCCCCGGTTTCCGACCTTTTATTTCAAATTACCTTACATTGGCCCTTTTTCTGTTGTCACACAAAAAAGGGTTCACCACTTTGTTGATCGTTATTGTTATAACATAGATATCAAGTTGGTCTTTTCATCTTTTAAAATAGGTAATATGTTTGGTGTTAAAGACCCTAACCCTTGTGGGCTCCATGCGTGTGTGGTTTACAAGTTTTGTGTGCGGGCTGTAATGCCTGTTATATCGGCGAAACCTCACGGCATTTATCCACACGTGAGCAGTGATAGGACCTCTCACATTTTCAGACGGTATCCGGTTAGATCGCACCATGGTTAGATCGCTCCCAGTTAGATCGCTCCAACCAAAAGTTAGATCGCTCCACTCGAAAGTTAGATCGCTCCATCAAATAAGTTACTTCGCTACCAACAGGGTACTTCGTTTCATGTTGTAATGTGAAGTATTGCTTAGCAATGATCTTTAAAGTTCATAGGTGATGATGTGTCTTGCGACGATTCGAGTACATTGTATTCACTCTGTCCATCAGATTAACCACCTATATATTTATATATATATAGAGGTGACTAGAAGTATAGCGATGATGGAATAAATGATCGTGGTTACACTTCGTGAGTCCGTTACATGAGCCTTCATTTGTTCTCTCTGCGTAACTCAGATTTATTTCAAGGGCGCGCGAGCGATATTAATCGATTGTTAAGTAAGATATACATGTCATTTGATGAATTGTAAATTTAGATAGCTTAGTTTTGCTACCTTTACCTTGGTTTTCTACACGGAGTGAAGTAACTCATGTTAGGAGCGAAGTAACTTATACTGATGGAGCGATCTAACTTTCGAGTGGAGCGATCTAACCTTTGATTGGAGCGATCTAACTGGGAGCGATCTAACCATGGTGCGATCTAACCGTAATTCTTTCAGACATTTACAAAATTCTCAACAATGTCGCACTCTATTTAACCGTTTGAGCCTTAAGAGTGACTAACATTTAATTTCTCCTTACAATGACTCCCCTGAATCACACGTAAAGGTCACAAGAATGAAGGAAATGATCAGAATCCCTCGATTGTTAAACAAATTCTCCTTGTCAGCACCTTAAGAAGTGTGTGATGAACAGTATGGAGAATATGCATACTAATGTTAGGGTGTAAAACGTTAATTTAAAATAGAGTGCGACACTGTTCTATTGTTTTATTGTTCGATTTGTTCTATTTTTTGTTTTTTCTAATGAGCATTTTGTTACACACTTTAAGTTCAACTTTGTACTTTGTATAAATCAGAACTGAAGATGACAGAAGGACTGTCGAAACATGTTTTTAAAAAATATCGTATATTTTCTTAAATTCGTGACATATCTGGTGCTATCCAAACCCTATGAAATAAGTCATTCCCCGAGGTTGCAGTTTGCGGTTTCTTTACGTGCAAAATGAATCTTCTCTAAAGTTTCCTCGCTGACTGGCTTTATTTACAAGACAGACCAGTTCACCAGCCAGACCCAAGATTCTATAAACTGGTAATCTCTTGCGAGAACCAGTTTTGTCAGTTTTGGAAATTTTCAACACCCTTTAGTTTCAGAGCAGTAAAACCAGCTGGTTCTTTGAAAAAGGAAACTCCAATTTTTTTTTTCTTTAGGTAGAGGTTTTTTCCAATGTTTTGGTTAATAGTTGAACTTAAAAGACAATTACACAAAATTTATGACGTTTTACCTGGTATGTAACAGACATTGTTATATTGTCTTTAGTGTACTGCAAACCAGTGGCCAGCCAACCATTTTCATCCCAAGCCCAGTGAGTGACTACTGGGTACACAAAACCTGTAAGAGAGAGTTTTTGTATTGATTTGAGTCTCTCTAGATACCACTGTTAAAGCTAGGGGTGGAATCACATACCCAATACATGATGTGCTGATGAAGGAATAGTTCTACCCATCAGAGAAACCAAAAATTTTCAAAAAAAAAGGCAGAGCACTAATGCGCGAAGGCAGAAAATGTGGGGCTCCTTACACGAAGTGATTCCTTTGTATTGCGCTGCGCACTCTTTTGCGTGCATAGTTTTGCATACAAAGCCCTGAAAGCAGGGCGTGAGCTCCATCAACCAACAGAACCCGCAACAAAGCGACAGGCTGTCAAAGAGGAAAACAATGTGGCCGTTTGTATTTAACTAGCCTCCAAACCTCTTCTTTGTATTATCTTGTTTCTGAGGTCTTCCTATTTGTACTTCTCAGTTTCAAAAAAAAAAAAAAAAATAAATGAAGGGGATAAAAGTGTTTGTTGCTGTCTTTTGTGGACGAAAATTGTGTAGTGGAGATTACATGGCCGATATAGTTTTTTTTTATCTGTTTATTTTCATATGCACTAATGCCATAGAACAGTTCAATATAGAGCAATGTTTACTTTACCGGTCAAAAATACGGAGTAGACGAGATACGCCTTAAACTCCGTCCTTTCCGCCATGGCACCGCTGACAATCGTTGCTGCTGTGGCGGCGAAAACGAAATGGAAAAACCAATTAGAGTATTTGTCAGCTGGTAAATCTGCCAGCGCGAAATACTTGTGTCCAATAAAGCCATTGCTTTCCGCCCCAAACGCAAACGCGTACCCGAACAACCAGTAAGCCACTGCGCCGATAACTGTGTGAGAAAACACCAGAGTTAGAAGGTGCAAGTCGGAGTTTTAATTACAACGCCTCAACTGGAAAAATAATTACAACACTACCCAGTTTCGCGAGCATTGGCAAGGACATGAAATGGCATAAATTGAAACTATGTGCTTTCAGCTTTTTTTCCAACAACAGAATTGACTGTTTTCTTTCGATTGCATTTTCGGTCTCTGGTAAGACACAGGCAAGAGGAAACTCTATAACTTAGTGTCACCTGGCCTCCTTGAAAACCTCGACTTCATCGAGAGAAACTTACCCTTGCATAGAGAGAAAGCTAAGGACTTGGCTGTCTGCCTATAAAACTGAAAGTTAATCCATCACGGTTTCAAAGACAATCAAATGATTCGCAATTGCTAATTAGACGTAGAGGACACAAATACTAATGCTTATAAATCATTAGTTTCATTCTTTCACGGGAGGCTTTGTGTAATCCATACTTACACACATCCAAGAAATTCTTTATTAGGATGTTCGTCGTGTTCTTCGATCGCACTGATCCGGCCTCGAGGAAAGCAAATCCTGCCTGCATAACTGCAAAATATTGACATGAATTCAACAACCTGAATATTTTATACCATAATTAGTAACTACATAATACAGGACCACATATTCCTTTTATTATTATTATTCCTTTGTTATTCTTAGACTTGTCAAAGCATACCGGCAAGAAAGACCTTTGTGGCTCTGAATTCTGTAAGTATTTCCAAACAAAATTACATTGCTAGTTCGTTTAGGCGCATTGCTCGCATAAAAAAAAGAAAAATATTACAAGTCAGCAAAAGTCGTAGAAATGGTACAGGTTCTTTGTAGCTGTATACGGTGTTGAGGTTAAAGTAGCTTCAAGTAAAACACCCACACTTGAGTGTTTTATCCGAACTCCTTTCTTGTTGTTAGCAACGTCTTTGGTATTTTCTCTACCAAGCGCGGATTGGATGCTTGAGAGCTGTTTCCGTAGAAAACATATAGGAAATAGGAGTCACTCAAAGAATTGACCAAGAAAACTTTGGATAATTCTCTTCTATGTCCCAATGTTATTGTGCATGATAAGTTTATTAAATGAATAGATGCGCTCGTTTCTGCGTTAGTTTGTGAAAATGTTTGACCCGATAGAATTGCAACTGGTGAGTTTGAACAGGGGACTGAAAAACTGCAATGAGAAATGTAAGTTGTTTTCACAACGCCTATCACAAATATGGAATGAAATAAAATAACATGTATTAAATCACAGTGACTGTGGAGGTCCATGTAAACACCTCCATTATTAGACAATTTTCGAGAACTTACAAAAGATGAGGCATCCCATTAAAAGCAAAAATTGCTGATCTATGTTCCCTTGTAACATGGCTAAAGTCTTCTTGACCTCTAGAAACTCAGTTGCGCTGGCAAAGCTCATTTTGCTTTATTCAGTGGCAGCGAGCAAACGACTTCAAAGAGAGAGTCGAGGCCGTGAAGTCCAATGAGAGAATTGAATGTGGAATGTAATTTTTTAAAGGGTAATTAAAACGGGCAGTCTCTCGGGAGTGGACGCATTTAGAACACGATGAAACACTGGTGACTCATTTCATAAAATGGTAATTTTCTACGTGAACTCTTTTTCTTCCTCTTTGTTTTGCAAATAAGGTGTCTCGTGATATTTATGGAAGAATTGTTTGGTTATGATAGTATGAACGACGAGCAAAGTCCATGAAAAACGAAGAACACCCAGTCGAAAAAAATAGAAAACTTAACAAAACAGAACAGGTCAAAGCAATGACCAAATGATTCTTGTGGCAAAATCTTTCTTGCGGAAACGAGTTTATTTGATGGAATCTTAAAAAATCCTTTCTCATCAAAAGTCTCGCAATTACTCTCGCTCGGCAAACAGAAGTTTTGTTCATCTCGTTGTGTACGTGAGTCCATTTCCATCATTTCCGAGATGATCGCATATGATGACCAATAATCTTCGGGTCGATTTTCCAAAGTGCGAAGTAGATATTTCAGATTTTAGGTCTCAAGAGGACAATTGCCCAATGGATTGGACTTTGAACTCGGACTATGTCGTCATTGTCCAATGAGCTGTGCGTGGCGTTCATCAAAGTGACGATATAGTTTCTTGAGATAAACATCAGTTTTCAACTTTTCCTCTGTTTCAAAGCGAAAACAGTTTCGTCGTACTAACATAATCTCAAGCCCAAATGATTTTAGGTTAGACCGAAAGAAACATATTACCTTATCATTCCAACTCTGAATATGAGCTTCACTGTTCGTACAGTTCTTAAGTTAGAGTGTCTCGTACTTCATTACGTCCTTGCTTACGTGCTCTGAGGGGTAAAAGGGTTTTGGTTTATATTTGTGACACGTGCGATACAGCGATGTACATGAGGAAAGGAAGCCACCGTTTTGTTTCAACGACATCTTGGCAAACCTTAGCTGTGAACTAAATAGGACTAGAGCCATATGCAATTGACGTGTTACAGTAGAAATGTCAATGTTTTGATCCTAAGTTGTTGGTAGCAAGCCTCGTGACTGCCGCACTAAGTTAAATTCAATTTCGTGAAGTTCACGAATCATGAAAAACATATTACACCAAACGTATCCAACAAAATAAGTAATTAGACGTGATTATTTAATTTTCACATTATGATTTTCATATATTCACATTTAAAATAAATATGAGTTGTTGATTCATAAAAAACAGAACAGGTCAAAGCAAAAACAGAAGTACTATTGTTTATTTGTTCACTAAGCGGGTTGTCTTTGAAGTTAAAATGAAAGTTCGAAAGTTTAAGCTTTAGCTTGAGGAAAACAAAATTGTTGCTATTCGTTGTTTCGTGCTGAGTTGCTCAAGCTCGCAGCCAATCAGAGCAGAGATTTTAGGGGTGACACTGATCTTACTATAAAACAGTGACACAGAAGCGCGGAATGGGAGATCGCGATTCTGGGCTATTGATTAAATAAACGTCAACGAGGTCGTAACTCCAGGTTATGGCAATATAAAATGTAATGAATACAGTGTTCACATGGTAACCATCAGATATTGCGGGGGCAAAAAGAGACACAAGGTAGCCATACATGGGTGTACAAACAAGTAACATATTTCCATACTATCTAAATTTAAGCGCCTTAACTTAATATTACAATAAGCTGGAGTTTTACATCAAAACAGACAAAAATTAACTTTTTGTGATTATTCGGAGTGAAACCATCGCAAATTTTAAAATTGGTAACTGCCAAAATAAAGTACCGAAAGATTATTTGCATAGGTGGGTGTACGTCACTGAAAAGTGTACATTGAAAAAGAAAAAAAAATGAAGATATGTTTCTTGGAGACACATTAATAACCAGAAGGTCTCACAAGAATAACCAATCACCACTGTTAAAAAATGAAGAAATGGTTTTTACATTTCTTTTATTAAATAACTAATGAAAGAGGAACGAAAACCGTGTTTACATACGCTCATGTAAAATGGTTTTATGGCCAATCAGAGCGCGCGAACTATTTGAATATTTTATAATTCATGTTGAATTTTGGGTTAATCGAGATTGTCTGCACGCATAGCGAAATATAATAAAATTAATCATAACGCCCAAGAGAAAGAGTTAAAGGTCTGCCACAAATAACAGTAGGAGGGATATCACCAGGACCATATTTGTGAAAAGGGAAGTTATACTTACAAAATATACAGCATCCCATGATCACCAAAAACATTTGGTCGAGGTTCCCGCTTAATCCTTTAAAACCGGCTTCAAGTTTTTCAAACTGTGCGTCGGCCATTTCGACTGTTACTTCTGTTTTACTTCCTCAGAAAATGATAGTAAAGAACTTAAGTGTTTTTGGCCTTAATGGCTGATGAAACACTCGCCAAACAACAACGGACTTTATAGGTCCTATTCACTTTGTGAAAATGCTAATTTTTTACGGCGTTTCGAAAGGTCGCAATGTTTTCATTCATCCCATATCGCCACGTGATTTGTGGCTGGTTGTGTGACAGACGTGGGCAAAGAGGCCTTCACGTGATAGACTGAAATGTAAATATTTCACGTTGGCCGAAGTAAATATGACTTTTTATCGAGCATTAATCTGGCTAAGTTTAATGTGGGTCTACCTTCGAACTAATGGAGTTTTAAGAGCCGAACGTTTTTATCTAACACTAACGAAAAGCAACTCGATGACCGAATGAGGGACAAGTTTCAATAGAAATAGTAAGAAAGTTAGCGTGTTGTCTAGCGTGGCATTGGCGCATGCATTAATCAAAGGCCACGCGAGATAAGCAAAAATTTGCATACGGACTTTAACCCCTAAAGAGGAGATCTTCCGGCTGCTGGCACAAGTAGGAAACAAACAGTTTCTTATCTGTTAGTTCGAATTTAATCTTGTTACGTGTCTCATCCGCAGCGGTTTTTAAGGTTGGAATGTATATTTAGCGTCAGTTTCTGTAGATCTCTTCCACTTAATGTCCAGTTATTCGAAGGCCGATTAGCGCTAACCCGGGGTTAAGTTTTAGTCTGGATTTCTTTATTCCCTTCTTCAAAGGCCTATTTTAGATAATTTCTTCAATTCTTTTTAGAACATCCAGGCATCAAATTGTAGGCAAAAATAAACACACAGAATATGCCTGTACAGCTTTCAGATCTGAGGTCAGATTTCACACTAACCCCGGGTTAACTTAACCTAGCTTTGAACAACATGGCCTAGAGCTTTATTGATTGCACATCTGAATCACTTTTAGGAAGCCTGACTTTTCAACCATTTTTAACTGCTGTTTTGTTTGAATGTAAAAATGTGCTCTAAATGTTCGTGTTTGTCAAACAATTCAGGTTGCTAAACACTCAACGAAAGCAGAAATCATAGTCCCCCACATCTTCAGACCCGAGTTTATTTTTACAACAACGGACTGTTTTATTGTATGAAACAGGTATCAATGGCAACCTGCAGACTCTCTGTGATATGTATTAGGGCAGCTTGTTTACTAAATATAGTCACCCGACAAAGGCGTATTCTGTCTTCGGTAAGTGCCATTTATTAATTCAGAATTAATGACTTTAGTTGAAATTCAGCTACCTGCATCTTGAAGAATACAGTCTTAAGAAATCAGTTCGCAATGGGTGTGAAATTTTGTAATAAATGTTAAACAAGTGACGGTAAGTAGTTAAGATAGCTAGAAAGCAGCTTCCTTATTAATCTTGGCGCATTGATAGCCACAAGTTCGGACCACAAGCATTTTCTCCCAGTACCACAACTCTGGTGGCTTTTTGGTATAAATCGTTTTTTTCCCTTCAGTAAATATCGGCTAAGACCCCAATAGAGGTAAATCAAAATTAATATCATCAGGGCAAAGCGGTTGAGGCTCCTCAAAAAAATTCTCTTTTCGCGGAAGACTGATTAAAAATTAAAATGCCTTCGCCTTTCTATTCCTCGACCTCAAGAACAAAGTCCCTCTCAAACTGGTTTTTAAGACCCAAAAGGTAAGCCTGCAGTCCAGCTTTGTCCAGGCGAGAGTTGCGTCCAGCTTGGAAAAGCTTAGTTGCCAATCGGAACACTGCCATTTGTTGGCGACTCTCTGATGACAACAACTGACTCGTCTGAAATGACATAGATAAAGGAGCTGAGTCATAAATCTTCAACAATTAAGCCTGAATTTTCAAGTTGCGCAATTCCCAGATTTGCAATCTTTCGCAGTTGAATCTTTGCTATCTTAAACTATCTGCCGTCGTAATTTGATTTTTCGTACTTCTTTTATTTATTTATGTTCGAGCAAACTGTGACGTTGAGGTTGTTTTTGTCCAAAGAAAATTCACTCTCACGCCAAAATTGTCTCAGAATTTCGAAACGAAACTCTTTTTAAGAGTTTTCTTTTAAAGAGCTTTTTGATTTAAAAATCTAAACACACTGCCTGAGAATGCAAAGGTCCAATGTCAAGTCTTGTAAATTGCAATGGCTGGTTAAAATAGGACACAAGCAGGTTCCTCAAAAAAGCTAAGAATTGATATCAATTAACCCAAACCACCATGAAGAATAAACAAATGTAATTCTCCCAACTCACAAGGTGGTAGTCGTCACGAGAATAATCTCCATACGTCAAACGGAATAAGAGCTCTAAGCCAAGGGTTCATTAAGTTTGGAAGAAGGAGAACATAAACTGGAGGGTAAGCAGCAGAAACTCGTGAAAGATGAAGTAAGGTTAATTCTTCACTCATGATTTGAGATTGGGCAAGTGAGAATCCTCCTGTTTCGTTCTTACGAAAACTTTGGTAAATTGAAATAAAGTGCGGCGACTGAAATACGAACTGCGACTTCATATCTACCTCTTTCTGTCTTGTCAACTCGGTTGAAATTTCTCGAGCTTCCCTGACGATTGACTGAGGCAACGTCGAGAACTCAGCAAGTTGAACACCTGTCATGGATGAAACGCTTCCAGTTTAATAACTCGAGCAACTTTATTTTCATCCAAAAAATCGCAACTCGTTACAGACAAGAGGAAGCCTTCTAGTCACGCGCGACAGTATTTCCGGGAAGATAATGCCAGTTTTAGTGTAAGGTGTTAAAGCTTTGAGAAACAGTCCCTATTGAATTCAACATTTCAACAGGAAGTAAAGGGCGAATATATGCAGAGGTGAAAAAATCTAGTCCAGTATGGGTGGGCGTGAGTAGAGAATATTTCAATTTTTAGGCGAATTACTAAGGTTTTATTTCTAGGAATACCACCAGGAGGCAAGACTGAGCATGCGTGCAGCATCTATAGGCGAGCACAATTACAAGTATTATGAAGCCCGGTACTAATCACATTCCTCGTAATTACTGTATATAATTCAAGATTATCATTTTTTGTGTTGAATACTCACCATAGTGTTTTTCTTCTGTTTTTCCTTTTGATACCACGTGAGTGTATGTTATTTTCTCACTTGCAGCTTCTGCACTAAACATTTTCTGAAAACATATTTCAAATATTCTAGTTAGAACAAATTCATCAACTAATAAATGCTTACCAATAACCTGCGTGGAGGATTAGCAAAACGATCGTGTTCCCAGGAAATTAATTTTTTGGGAAGTAACGAGCTACCAGTCTAAATCTGACTAACCTATTGTGGTAATGTTTCAAAATAATTACCTGGATCTTCAAATGCAAACTGTAAAGAGAGAAAACTAATGTCAGTTGTACCTCTAAGCAGTGTGTATGTTTCCATTGAAATAACAGTAATTCCTTTGGCTGCAAATGTAAACATCTATATGTAGTAGTAATAATGATAATGATGACATCGATGATAAGAGTAACAGTGATAACATCAATTGGATATTTTCGCAGGATAGCCTAGTACACAATAGCACTTTAATCTTCATCAATCGATGAGTCAATCAGTTCATCAAACCTACCGATCAATCAATAAGTAAGATACTCGTATTAAGAATATTCGTTACCGAGATGCTGCGACGGTGGCACATTTTCCACTTACTTTTCTACGTTAGGGTATAAGCTATCCATTGTTGTCAATTCAAGGAAGTGGGTTGCAAAGAATGTAAATGTCTATAAAATAAGAGAGAAACCTATTACTACATCTACAGTGCTTCCGACATTTTAAATGCCTCTACCAAAATCTACAAACATTTTACATTTGCATTCACCTATTCGTTTTTTTATCTTTTATCTAGTGAGATAAATGCGAGCTTTTGGAAAGCAGTTGGAATATTTAAACGCTAATAAATGCTGATTATATTTTTTCATATTAACCTTCAGGTTGATTGTTACCTTTCTTTTCAGTAGAGTTTCAGCAATGGAGAAACAAATTCCAACTCCTTCCTCGCTACTAGTTCCTGGAAAAAAGATAGCAGTTGAGATATAGTGGCGGCTAATGTCAAAATTACCTTCTCTTCATTTCTAACTTCTTTTTTAAGTCAATCTTCTCATTGTTGTTATTGTTATTTTCACCATTACTGTTCTCCTTTTATCTTTACATTTTTTGATGACACTAACCGATACAAGACACACGAAGTTAGACGCCAAAGTAGTTGAAGTAGTGGTTGTGTAAAAGACACAGAGCAATATCGCAGCGAATGAAGAGAGCCACAGGATGCTCCTTATGGCATTCTCAGCTTTTCTCCCTCAACAACGTCCTAACGATTTAGTACGTCACTGTGAATCTGAGTAATGTACCTCTTCCAAGCTCGTCAATTATGATAAGTGACATGTCACTGGCATTCTAGAAAAACAATTTAAATTCCTTGTAAACGTGCAAACTAAAGACTGAAATGTGGAAACGAAGATGTACACTCCATTTAAAAGAAATGGAAACGCACCTGAATGATGTAGTGGATTTCTCGCATCTACGAAATAAAACAGGATGCCTTTAGTCTTTTGAGCTTACGATATATCGTAGTTATTCTTGTTTTTGGCCTGCTCATGTACCGTCAGTAGGTATCATGGCAAAAATTACATTTAGGTGAGTACGAATTTTTGAACGACTAGTTAAATATATGGAATCTGAAATCGCCATAGGAGGGTAAATTTTATTGTAGGCTTTTCAACAGTGGAAATGAAAATTGCAGGGATTGTGAAAAATACTTTTCCCTTAAATGGAACCGTCGGAAGCCATAAGCTTTATGGAAACCACTTTCGAAGTAAATGAAACTCACTTCAAGGGTGAAGGTGGAGGAATTGGTTTCAATGTCATCATCGCTTCCTATCCTTGAAAGTATTTGATCAGCGGCTCTGAATGAAGCGTATTCCGCAGGTACGTAGCATCCAACCTGGGCCATTATTTGGAGCATGGCTATCTGTTTCAGGTATGTAGATTTACCACTCTACAGTTAAAAAACATCGCGCATTGGTATTTGTTTTTAAAAGTGTTTAAGGGACAGTTTAATTTGTTCTACCAGGCACTAGCATACCATGTTAGGTCCTGTTATGACTAGAAAATTTGACCCCTCAGTAGCATACTGAAAAGAAAACATAATTAATAATTAGCTTGGGGCAACCCAGTTTTACTTCTACCCATTAATCTATTTTCTTCTGTTTTCATTAGGAACCAAATTGCCAAAACGCCTGCTAGCTCTACAGTGAACGAATTAAAGAAGCTAATCATGAATCCAACGCCCTGAAAAGGTTCCTCGTAAAATTTGAAAGGAACATGTCAGTTTATCCTATTACACTGACCGTGTTATTTGCTGTTGGTGGTTCGGGAAGTATTTTATCTAAAATAGGATGACGTCCATTCTTAATCGCCAAAGTATCCGTGAATTCTGGTCGAACTTAAAAAGAAACAAGAATGTGCCTCTTAATTATAAAACTGACAACGCATCTAGAGACGAGCCATTAAGAACAAACCTACCATAGTCAGACAAAGTACATAGGTGAGCAAATGAAACCAACATGTCCATCACACTGACAAGCTCAGCAAGTTTATAAAGGCAACCCATGTGTTCCCTTATTTCACTCAGAAGTTCAGATACTACCCTATAAATGTTAAAAAGATAAAAAAAGATAGATATTGCTCTCAAAATTATGTCCGTCAAGATTTTTGGTTCGTCGCACAGACATGACTGAAGGCCACCTATCATTATCATTTCGATTGCAACGCAGCTGGTGGGAGCCACGCCTAAAGAAACTTGACGCAGACTGACATATAGGAAAATTTGTTTTGCATCAGTTCTGTACCTCTTTGCAGCATTCAATGGCGACTTATCAATCTTAATAAATTAGTTTCCCTAGCGGACACAAAATTAGCGAATGTCGAGGCTGCACTTTAAGTCCATACAAAAATAAATTGCAAGACTTACACATTTGTCATGAGATATATTTCATTCAAAGACTCCTTTATCCTGTCTATGGTAAGAAATTGAGACACTCTTTAAATATTGTTGTTGGCACCAAGAGATAAACGCTCAAGTTATTTATGAAATGACTAGACAACTCACCATTAAGCTTTATCTAAAGCCATTAAAAGGAGCAGTGAGGGTGAAAAGAAATAAAAATCAGTAGCTGCAATAAATCAGTATGGCTAGATATTGTCATTAACTGAGATTCTTTTAGTTCATGATTAGATATTGCAAAATCACCTAGTTTTACGTTTATCACTTATAAATAATATTCTTCTTAACTAGCAAAAAACGAGTTCGATTTCGACGAAAGAGAAAGTAGCTAAAGTATCAAAGAGACAAAAAAGAAAAGAGCAGAGGAAAAAAATACAATTCAGCACTAAACGTAAAAGGTGGCTTATCTTCTACAACACGTCTTCAAATAAGTCTTCTTTTGGTATCGAGATATCTATTACTTATACTAACCAGATCTACCGTGGTAAAACAGACAGCACTTCTGACCTTCGTTGCTTTTAGGAACTCGTTGGGCAGTGTTTTTAAGTCAATATGTTCATCTCGGTTAAGCGTCATTTGCACAAAAAACCCCTTGGTGCCGTTGAAACCAGTTTTTAGGGGTAAGTTGTGCCTTTCCCCCAATTGCTTGATCATCTCTGAAATCAAGACCAACTTATGCTATAGATGACATAGATATATATGTCCCAGCGGTTACCAAAGGAGTGAACATAACGTGTACATGTAGCAAGAGCACACAGGTCTCAAAACGAGGTCCTAACCCGACAAGATTCCAAAGTTCGTAAAACGATCTGATACATACTTTGTATTCAACTCACTGGCAGATGCAAAAGGATAAAAAGACATCGTATATTATAATTTATCTCATTATTAAACATTTTATTGATCATGCTATACGTATTGAATCATTATCCGCACGTTATAAGGGGTACAGAACTAATTAACTCACCAGTTATGTCATCGACAATCTCAGTGTACGTTCTCCTGGCAACGTCCAACAGGCCTGCAAGGATGTCATACCATGGTCAATATCTCCTGTACTAATTAAAATAGGATAAGCTAAGATGGAAGATATTCTTACCGTTTATATGAGGCTTTCATCCATGTTTCAAATTGATTTTTTTTTATTGGAAAAAGGCAGTAAAGATAAAAGTTAGTATTGCAATGCACAAAACAGTTAGCTCGAACCTACTCCATGTGTAATTAATAACAATTCCTACAAATGCTTTGATTAAATAAAGATCCTTATAAAATCATCGCGGGAATGCCTATTGTAGGAAACGATTCCATTATTCCATTAAAATAAGGAAGATTAGAATTGTGATTGAATTCGTACCCAGAGAAGATCAATGTGGGAGACGAAACCCTCCATTCTGGCCTTATCGCGCTAAAATCTTAAGATCGCTCACAGAAAACTGAAGTGATCTGAAAATAACTTTTAAAGCATTTCCTGATTTCAAAATCAGTATCTTAGCTTGAGCCCCTGTTGAGGTGCATTAGTCCATGCTTGTACCTTAACAGCAAAGCATTTCTGAGTCCTCATGTTGAGAGTTCCTTTCTGATACCGAGTGTCATCATGTATGACAGTCTGAATCTTCTCCATGATGGTTGCAAATCTGCTATCATTGAGTGACTGTGTGACACAAAACAAAACTAGCCGATGAAAGAATATTTCAAATTCACTCTTTTTAAAAGGCAATTGTCTGAGCAAACGTCCTAAGCTTAGCTGACGTTTTTTAGCTCGACGACTTTGACCAGCATGTTAGTCATGTCTCTAAAACTGTACCTCATAATAAGCTTTGAAAAGGTCCGCCTCGGTATCCTGTAGAGCCGTTCTTAAAGGCTCGACAAGCTCCAGGGTGTGCTTCAGGTATATAACTGTTGTGATTTTGGATTCAGCTGTTTTCACTGTTTCTTGCTTGGGAAGCTGAACACACATAGAGGTTAGGTGGTCAATATCTAAGAACCGGCCTATCACTGTCGAATGAAAAAAAGGAAGGCAAATAGTTCAGTTTGCCATCTTTTGAAGAAAAAATCGAAATGATTAATAGGCAAGCTTATCGGGTGAACACACAGGTATCCTGCATACAGCACCGCTCGCGCATACGTTAACCGAAAAACGCGAATAAAACGGGCCAAAGATCGCATGCAATTGCGAATAAAAAAAGTCGTGCGCGTCAAAAAATCGCACGTGCGCGCATAAACTTGGGAAAACTGCCTCAGGTATGTATGAGTTAGTCATTTTGTTTTTCTTTCCCAAGGAAAGAATAGGCTACGATGTAAGAGCACTAAAACACTACACGGCTACCAACGACATGAGTGTAGACAGCGCAGTAGCAAGTCCGTCAGACAGTTAATCAATTTGTCACTCAGTCGATCGGTCGGTCATTAAACTTACTAAGTCAGCTGTGTGTTACACTCGATCCTAAACTCACCAGACTGTAATCCGTAGAAGAGCTCCTGAGTGAGTAAGTAGAGGTGCAAAAAGATGAGGAGGTTGAAAGACACATGTATAGGCCGCAAAACCAATGACAGGTATGAAAAATGACTCGCAGTAAAGACAGCGATTCCAAACCAAAAGATACTAACCTCTTTGTTTGTTAACTCTGTCGGGAAAAGAGAGAAAGTTGTTTCCTAGCATAACACGTGTGTACTCACTTAACAAAAACCGTGAACTTTGAATTATCAGCTGATTTGTTTCACTCAGGATTGAAAGTCGCTCCCAGTTGATACACACGGCCACTTACCTCCTATGCAATCTAAACGTACATTTGTTGTCTCTGCATCTGTTTAAAAACGAAACACAGGCGAGTTCTCTGATAAGCATAATCTTCTAACTAAGTGTTTGGGCGCATGCCGTTTTGTTGTAACAATCTACTTCACTGAATATAATATTTGACTTACTGTGCAGTCTTCTAAACTCTTTGAGTGCAAAAGTATGACTATGATTAATCACCAGAACCAAAGAATGTCTTATCATACATTAGAAGGAGCGACACAAAGCTGCCAATAGTTCCCCACTCATGGTTTCACATTCTTCATATTGAAAACGTAAAAATCTACCTGAGAAATAAGCTCTTGAAAGTGCATTTAAAGAGGAATAAATTGTTGTTACTCACCACAAGGGGGTTGAAGAATATTTGATCTTAAAAGGCGGGCTGCAAGATAACAAAGCATAGGGAGAAAGTGAGACGGGGACACGTCAACCAATCCATAGAGGCAACACAATCTCAATCAGTTTAGAAATTAGCACTGTACAAAAAAGGAATACGTCTCCTTGTACCTCCTCCAGCTGTCTTCGTGTGGTTCAGAATTCCACAAAGACAGTGACCACTCTCAGGATCCCTGGCATTCTGAATTAGTTCTAAGTTCTTTATAGTTGAGGAATCTGAAAAATTACGCAACGCTTAGGTTAATATGGAGGTAATATCTTTGAAAGGCCGAATCAGATGACAGTGAGCTCGAAATTGTTCAAGGCTCCAGTCCAATAGAAGCTAGTGACAAGAGAGGGAGGGATGAAGTGAATCACAATTTTCAAGAGAGTGCTTGGTCTAATTTCGTTTTACAGCTTGTCACTCAAACAACTCTATTCTAAGCATGGTAGAAGATATGCTCTTACCTACAATCGCTGTCTTCTCACTCCCTTTGAACACTACTTTAATAGATCCAGGAGCATAAACAATGTTCTGAATAAATTCCACGTACTTGAGCAAAGCCTGTCAGTTCAAAGTAAAGGTTATTTCCTCCAAGATTTGTAAAGAAAAGACATAAAGCCAAAATGCAAAACTCGCCTCGGAGAAACTTAGATATAGTTTTCTAATAAATAGTAACAATCATTTATAAAACTTACGGCAGCCGTCGCAAGGCAATAGTACCTATGAAAGAAAAAACAAAATAATAGACTTATTAATCTGAATGTGAAGACAACTTCCGAATCAGAACTTTACTTTAAACACCAACTTGCGTGCTTGGCTTCTCGAAGACCTTCCGCGTGCGGAAAAATAGAATCTGTAAACGAATTGTTTGCGTATTCCTCACTGCCGATTTGACGTGAAAAAATTACCAATAAACAGTAAATAACCCGTAAATTTGATTGTTTTCTACAAGTGACACGAATTTCATCGAATGTCACACTGACGACCATCTACTGTATAAATCTGTTGTCATTTCAACTTACTTTGAAGCTACCTCCATTTCAACAGTGTTTAACTCTGGAACGCAGAGTTGTTTCACGTAATCTAAGCCTGAAACAAAAACCGAATGACTGCTCAAGAAATGACAAGGAGCAAGAGACCTCATCCTCTCTAGAAAGGGATTGAAAGGATTATTGACAGCAATGAAAGATGTTTTCGTTATTTTTGGCTAGATTTCTTTAAACTTGCTTTTTACTGCCCCAAAATGTAAAATGTGTTACCTTTCGCCTCGTTGAAGTATTTCCGCTGGACAGATGATAAGTTTGCGTAAGGTATCTGGTCACTTAGAAACTTGAATAGCGGAGAAGGGTTTTCACACGCTGTATTAGGCATGATAATCTGGTAAAAGAAGGAAAACGAAGCATAACCGAACAAAAGAACAAAGACAAAACAAGAAAAAAAAAACTAAAAAAAATTGGAGAGTTTAATATGAAACACGGACTGTTTCATCAGTAATTAATTTCTCGCTGACCACTACATCTATATCATGCATGAAAGAAAGGTGATTGGAAAAAGCATTCCAACCAGGCGTCTTCGCATCTATCTGTTGTGTTTTTTTATTAACACACAGTCGTGTGAGGAAACGAAATAAAAACTTTGCGTATTCTAAACTTGTTGTCGATTTTCAGTTCTTAACTGACAGATCATTTGGAACGCAATTAGGGACCCGACCACATTTGTAACAAATTTGTTGTTACGTATTGTTCATAACATGATACACATCGGTTACCAACTTACCTCCAAAGGCTCCAAAATCTGTAGCTTTGTTAAAACCTTGACGTAAGTCTGGTTATCTGAGAACTTGACAAATAACACTAGTTATTGTTAGAAATATCATCTTTCGTGCAATTATCAGGAAAAAAACAGGACATAACAAAATTATTTAATTCTGTGTGAGCCTACATAGGGCTAACATACGGTATGATGATAGCTGACCTGTGACAAGTTCAGTTCTGGTTTCTTCAGGTCGATGCTAGCCATTCCAATTTCTCCTTTTGCAAGGCCACGTCCTTCAACGATTGCTTTAAGAAAAATAACAATTCACAATTGCAAACTACATACGCCATTGTGTCTATGTAAGCTGCAATTTCCATGGCTCTCGTTTATCACTGAGAGGCATTTGATTTGGCGATCTGACCGGCGAGGGAAAATTGTTCGAGGAAGAAGAATCCCGTTGAAAATTAAAATCGACGATCAATAAAAAACCTAAATCAACGAAGAAACAACGATAATGACAATGATGATGATGATATAGGAACTTGTCTGGCGCAAATTTAACATTCTCTTTCAAGGGGGTGGGTCAATGTTAATGAAGGAAGTATTCTAAATAAATATAAACTAGTTAAGAATCCAAACTGGCAGAAGGCAGACAGATGGCTTTTTTCATGGAACACAGCCAGTGGGTTGAACTCGGGTAAATCCGGTGGGTAGCAAGGCGGAGGACTTGACTTCGTAACCATGCTGCCTCGGAGACCTTTATGTGCAATTTCTCGACGTTAGTTTCTCGTCGAAGGTAATTACTACTCAAAATGTCGCAATAGTGGATGACATAAGCATACGCTGATCAACCTACCAACCACAACAGAAGAAGTTGGCATTCCTGGGGTTGTGCTTGAGATGTGTGGGGTTCGACGTGAGCTGGGTGTCCTGCGGGAGGTACTGCTCGAGGCCATGAGCCTAGGTCCAGGGGCAGGTGTTGTTAATGAACTACCTGGGGTCTCTGTTTTGCTGGAACTGTTTGAGATAATTACTTTTATCACATAGTTTGCATCCAGATTACATACCACATCAATATCGGTAAATTAACGAGATGCTTTCTAAGTTTTAATTTTTAAATAAATTCAGTTGAACCATAGAGTTCCGTGAACCTGCTTCCAATATTTTGTTGTTCAACTGCAAAGGTCTAACTCAATTTAAACCGATGCAGTCTTTGTTTCTTCTGTGAGGTCGTTTGAAAGGGTTCTGGGTTGAACCTAATTAAAAGATTACTTTCATTCAGTAGTCAACGTGGGCTTATCAGACAACGGAAAAGTTTGTCTCTAGTATAGAGGGAAAAATTTTATGAAAGATACCCGGAGTAGATGTTTGTCTTTAGACCCCTGCTGCTTGGCCTGGGTAGTTGGAAGTCACTAAAAGAACCCCCGCTGAGAAACGAGCTAACTGAAGCCGGTCCTTGGACAGCAGCTGTTCCAGATGTTGATGTGTCCAGCTCAAAGCCTACACAATAGAAAGTCAAAGGACTAAAATTAGTAAACGCCGAAGAAGGAGAAGGAGTACAATAGCACTTGAGTGGTCTATTAAAGACTCATTCTTAGACCAACGGAGAGGAGAAGGATTCGGGTTCGCCCATAAGTTGCGCAAGAAGCATTTAGGCTATAAGAAAATATGCATCATTTTGAGAAAAAGTAAAAACTACCCTATCAAATAGATTTTGTCTTAAATGAACAGGATGTCAAATAATTTCAGCTGAGGGTTACAACGGTAACGAATAGGTCGCTTCCCTTCTAAGTCTTCGAAAGCAGTGTTAAATCAAAATTAATTGACCCTATCTTCTCGTCAACATGGTCGATTTGAAAACCATCTAAAAAATCTCTAACATCTTGAAGTATTTGCCATTTTGGGAAACCGATTCAAAACTTTCTAGGGCTTCAAAAAGCCCCAGAAAAAAAATTCCCGGTGGCTTCAGAATTAGTTTTTCAAACGCAAAGATGTTCTGACATGAAATCTTTAGTTGAAATGGCAAATTTTTCTAGACCGGATAATAAACGCGTAAAAATTGTTTTTCTTTTCTTTACAATTGTTCGTTTGCTTGATTAATGCATTTTACGTTTCATGTATAAAAATTGTTTACAATGATATCAAGAAAAACATACGGAAGGCACTTAATTTGCATATTTATACTTACCGTATTTTGCTTGTCTCACAGATGACATTTTCCTTATAAGTTTCCTCCCACAACTCTTATCCTGCTGAAAAACTCCAGAAAAAAGAGCCGTAGTCAGTAGTGGCCAGAATGTTCAGATAAGGTCACTTGTTCCTCTCTTGGGAGCAGGTATCTTTTCATATTTTGTAATTACATCTAATTCGTGCAGTGTCTGAACTGTAAATGTTCACTGACAAATCAACCGGCCAAATTCCCCCCGAAAGCAGATTTCATTCCTGACAAGTGGCGATTGGCGGGGAAATTGAAGCGGCTACCAACTTGGAAAACGCGCGCAAAAATTGGCGGGAGAATTGATCGATCAGGAGGCGCGCAAACCGTAACAAACAAAAATAGTCAATCTAACAAAAACACAATGAACAGCAAAGATCTTTAATTTTAGGGTTGTTGGCCAGATACTTTGTCAAAAAACCTAATTACAAGTTATCCGATCTGTTTCATTTAAGGTTGGCATTCTTGCGTTCTTCAGAAAACATGTCAATCTCGTTGCCAGACCCGCCATCATTTTGGTTAGAAGTAAGGATCAGTAGAACACTCGTTCAGCAGGTCCTGAAGGACAAAAATGAAAAAGGCTTTGGCCAAAGACTTGCGATACGTGGTACTCATCAAATATATATCACTTCTCTGTGAGAGAGACTTTCAGCCACCGTGGTCGAAACGCAAGCAATTCCAATACGATGGTTGTTAGTATTGGCCCAGTACACTGTAGTCTTCTGGCTACAATAGGCTTCAATTCGGCCTGCCTCACGCAGTCTGAATGATGCCAATACTCTATATTGAAGGAGGTGGGTTGTACGACACTAGCCATAAAGATGTAAAATGCTAGTTTTTTTTATTATAAACAGTCTCTACGACAACACTCACTACAAACCACATCCCATATCAAATAAACAGATTTCATAGCTCGTAATAATTATTGAATGGTGCGATTCCAATGCTAAAATGGGCCAAATCGAAGTGCTTAGAGCAGTGATAGCGAAATAGCAGGTACTTACAATTCGACTAGTAATTGCGTTTTTGAATAAAACAAACTTGTCGCCGTTGAAAAGGCGCAATTTAGCTACAGTGAGTCTATTCAATACTGCAATTTGCAGGTTGTAGTTGGTTGTTGGTTCGCGATAAGAGTCTATTTTGATGCTCATGGCAACACACAGAACTCCTCCTTGGATCTGGAAAGAAATGTAACACGCAGTGTATACTGGAATGCGAAATTTTCATCAAGCAGTTTCTGCCTCTGTCTCCATAGCTTCAGATACGGGCTCGGTAGACTCGTCTTCATGGAACATGAATTCTGTTTGGTATTCTTTAAGAAACTGGGTCGAGCGAGCCTCGTCCAGAAACAGCGAATATACCCGTTTAATATCATCCACATTCACTTCCGTTCCCTTGGAGAAAATTGAAAAAGACGGTAAGTATACGTATGTCACTCTTAATACAAACATTGCTCTGGGAAAAGGTTAGCTTAGGCTCTTGTATTTAACGATGTTTCGTTCTAGAGCAATCTTCTGTATCTTGTGACATAAACTAAATGTATAATGAATATCTTTACAACTCTTATTAAAGGTGACCCGCGATGGTATTGGCACATAGCTCCACATCACACTGTACCTTTCGTTTCCGGCAAACTAGACTGGAAGCAGTGATTAGCTGAATGGAGTATCTAAGTGAAGTCTCTTGAGCAATTTTTGTAAGCAAAAATATCGCATCTTCGGACATCTCAACGTCTTCCTCCTCACATCTGTAACACAACAAATTGAATCAACACTACAAGTAAAACATTTTTGCGTCCCACTTAATGGCCAATATTATCGGTAATACAAGTTCTAATTGACTAATTTCCGCTTTCAATCTTTGCCAAAAATTGCACAAATGGAGCCGCCCTCGGAACAAGTCGATCCTTACGTAACGTCATGATCCACAAATGTGGGGTTTGAGATTTACCACATTCAGTCACACATTCTGACTAAACAGAATCACTATTTATCCTACAAACAAAGACTTGATGATACCGAAACTAATAATTTTGAACGTAGGTAAGAAAAGAGTTAACGTTTCTTGCCCACTGTACCTTATGGTAAGAATTTGTCTTAGATCTTTCTCTTGGTAAGGTGATGTTGAGATAATCAACAATCGGTCTAGCAGGTCCAGAGGTATTCCATGCGGACTCTTGTAATTGGTACCACGGATTCTGCAAGAAAAAAGAACGTCGTAGCACATCACTTTCAAGAAGCACATTTAAATTGAATGTCGCTTTCATTATATTTGATTAAAGTTATTGCGAGCTGAAGATGAAATGGTAATTCAGGTCGTTACATACAGTATTACTGTATGACAGTGTTCCCATGCAGACACTTTCTAGTTCAAACTTGTTCCCAGGGTTTCCTCTTCTTCCTACACACCGGAGCCTGAGGAGCACGTTGCACTAGTTCAAACGTATCTTTCCATGAAAAAATTCCCTTTCTTAAACACTTCAGTGTTTACTATGGTATGGCTGTTAGATTTGCTTGAAGCACTCTTGATGTTAGTACTACATAAACTTTTCTTACTTTGTGATTCCTCTGTTTGTAGCCATTATAAGAACTGGTGCCATGTCGTTTTCCAAAGCTCGGTTTAGAAAAGAGAAACACTCAATATCAAGCATGTGAACTTCATCAATAAACAGTACCTAGGGGAAAAAGCACCATACATTTATTTGTGTTAACAAGCTTTATGCCTAGAAAAGTAGTATATCCAATGGAAATGAGTACATAAAGAACAATTACTATATCTCATTTGAGGTGATGAGATATGAATCCCTATCATAACATATCAATAACCAAACGAACAAACCAATAGAAAAATAAAGTTAATTATCTCACCCCTGGTACAATATCAGCTTTTCCCTCTTCCCTCCATTCTGCAACTTTAGCATTGATTTGTTCCCGCACTTCTCCCTTGATTTCACCAGTGTCACCTTAACATAGTAAAATAAGTGCTTTAATAAGTTTTGGTAATTCATAAACACTGGTAGACAGAGTTGCAGGTGTGACCACATGTGTCGCAAGCACACTCATAGACATCACCCAAGGAAAGTTGTTCACCACTGGACTAATTTTGAGTTACATTCTGCACTGCATGCTGATGATTAAAAAAACATCAAATTTTTTTTTATCACAGACTGTTTGTAGGTATGATCAGCATGCCATTCATCCAGATGTACCTGAGAAGAGTGCCAGGAATCCCTGTGTTCTGCTGTTGATGACATCAATTTCATGGAGAGTGACTGTATGAACAACCTCTTTTCTTTTCTGTATCTCTCCTTCAGGACACTGGACAAACTTGGTCTAAGATAAAAAAAAATTGTCTAACTTTACTGTGTGTACTTGTTCATGAGTTGCTCAGTTATTGTGTGAGATTTTAGATGCTGTTATTGCTCCTGGGAGGTTTATCTTGACAGAAGAGTCTGTAAATAAGACTGACCTCTGGAACTACCACAGCTCATGATAAAGTGATTAGGATGTATGCTACTCCTCCTGGACTGGACATTAGTAAAGAGTCCACCACAGGTTACCCAGAGTATTCCATCACTTTTCCCAAGCAGCTGAGTGGAAACTATTTAAAAGTTTTACTCTCCTTGATGGATAGAAGCTCTGTGTGAGGTACATGTACATAATTTTCCCAGGAACAATGAAGAACAAAGAATAAAATCACATACCTGTGGCCCCATGGCATCATAATCTCTAGCTCTGTTAAATGAGCGTCCAAGTTTGGAGACTTTTCCTGTTGCTTTGTCAATTGTTATGATGTCCCTAAAACACAAATAATTGAGGAAAATGCAAGTTAAAATCATGTAGAGTATGTGCTTTAGAGCTCTGATGGGAATTTGTGACTGAATTACATTCAGAATGTATGTTCAATATTGACAACAGTTGACTGCAAGTACAAATATGTATAATTATTAAAATTCTTACCCTGCCTGCACTTTTTCTTTTGTCAGGGATTCTATCATCTTTGTTCCAAGATCATAAACAGTTTCCATCTCTGTTGTTTTTAAAGTCAGTTTGCCAACTTTTGCTCCCTAGAAGGATAACAATATATAAAATCATACATTAATAAAAATAAAAATTAATCATTTTGGGCTGATTTCAAATGTAATAAAAATAGGGTCTACAAACTTGCAGGTAAAGTTACAATTATAGGGGTTTCATACCAATTTTACCATGGTTATAGATTTAATTAAAAAACTCCAACACATCAAACAGAGCTGCTTTTAATAACTATTTTAAAATCATTAAAAAAATTGGGGAGTATCAATCCATAAAATAATTGATACTTAGAAAAAATAACAACTAAAAGTTGAAGAAAAAATTCATCAACTTACTGTTCCACTAGCAGGCCTGTCAATTTGTATTTCTACAACTTCACCTTCTATGATTTCAGTTTCCTCTCTGACATAAGACAAATCATTAAATACAAATTTCAGTCAATAAAGCAACTATTGTGAAAGCTTAAAACATGGTGTAACAAATAATTCTTGTACTCATATCTCAAATCTCAAGAAGGAACTTTAACAAAAAAACCTAACCAGGGATACCAGAATACTTCCCTAAAAGAAATATTAATAAATAAATGAGGAAAAAAACCAGCAGAGATATGATCTACTGGGAAAATTTCAAGGAAGGTTTCAATTAACTCACTTTATTCTTACTCCAATAGACCTTCTGAAAGCCTGTGTAAGGGCCTCTGTCTTTCCCATTTCCAATGAATAGATTTCACTTCCAGCTATAGATGTAAAGGGAGTGTCAGGGCCAAGAGACTGTGCCATTCCTATGAAGAAAAATGACTAATTATAAAGATTCATAAGTCACGAACACTAAGAATTTAAAGTAAGTTACCTTATGAGAAAGACAAACCCTCTCAAAAAATGTCTGACACATTTCAGTGACATCTAAACTACAAAGTTAACTTAACATCAGCATGTAGTAATAAAAGATGCTGCAGACCTTTGTATGCAACACATGATTCACATTTACACATTTGTTAATCACTTTGAGTGTAAACAGATGACACTGTTTTTTTAGATCATTGCCTTGCGATTGGAACTACACCATTTGATATATAAAAAAAAAAAATCAAAATTCACTATGCACATTACCCATAGCAATAGCTGTTTTTCCAGTGCCAGGCTGTCCAGCAATCAGAACAGCTCTTCCTGCAATCTTCCCCTCCTAAAATAAGGATTAGAAGTTAATTTGCTTACGTCAATATCCTGGTTTGAAATTATGTGAATAGAAAAGGCACAGTGACCTAGTGACTTGTAAATATGGGTCTATCTTTCAGATTCTCCTCTCTTCCACTGGTACAAGATTTCTGTTCCCTACTCCCACATTCATTCAGATTGGAAATAATGAACTAGAGATTTTTAATTTTCTTCTGCACTGTTTTATAAATTCATTTAGAATCCTAAGACTCAAATAAGACTTAAACACATCGACACTTGATGACTTTGATGTCATTTAACTCTTTTTAAAAACCTAGAGAAATCATATGAAAGTAGCCCAGGACTGAAAGACAAAGAGTGAAATTAAGAATGTTTTATATCTGTGCCTCTTGTAGAGGTAAAAGTAATAATTTGACCGTAATAACAAATGTTCAAAAAAAGTGTCTTTACCACAGCCAATTACCTTGATCATTTCCAAAATAACACCAGCGGCTCTTCTGGCAGCAACCTGACCAACCATTCCTTGTGAAACCTATGAATCAAGGAGCAAGATTGCTCAGGACTTACAAGTACACATATACAATGATAACATGGGAAAAATAATTTCCCCTTTTGTCTCTTATTGCACAATCTGTGTTAATGGGTTGTAAGCCTTTCTTATTTGTTTCAAGTTTCTATCAGAAATTTCAAGTGTAGCTTTGGATCCTTCAACTCCAAAAAATCTGATGTGCAATTCCCTCAACCAGATACTGCAAATTTCCTTATATGTTAGTTAAAAGAAGTTGGTTGGTTAATTAGGGAGAATTAGCACAATAATATATTGTGATTTTAACCAAGCAGAGAAAAGAGTGTGTCCAGCTTAGCTGTCCATGAACCTTAAGCAAAAATTGGAGACTTAATAGTATAAAGATTGATGTTTAAATTACGTTTGTACCTGTCTTGCTTCTAATGCATCATCTAAGCCAAGACCACGAATGTGGGAATGAGCTCCTAAATTAAACAAACAAACAAACAAACAACAAAAGAAATCAAGCACCTTATTGTTAGCTTGTTTAGAAGGAGCCCAGGAGACAAAACCCAGACTGAAAAGTACCAGAAAATATTTGTGCATCCCTGTAATAGCCAAAGGCTCAAGCATAGTCATCACCACAAATGGAACGAGAGTGGTAGAGCACATTAGCAATACTGCCTGTTTGTTTCAGATGCTTGTCCCTTAGAGCTCTCCAGGTTACTACAATTTAATCAGCAAACAAGTCACCTCACAGTTGAGATTTTCTGACATAACATTTCACAGCACACACAGCCTTACCAAAAGGTGGAATGATTTTAGTTACTTTACCTCTAAACCATGATGGTTGAACAGTTATTTTATCATATGCTAAAACAATTAATTAGTGACCAGAGAGTATGGGTGTATCTCATGCAAGCCATGTATTTTTTCATTACATTACATCACGACTAACCTATTCTTTCAATCCTAGTGATATCTCTCACTTCTTGAACTTTTTGTGCTGCTGCCTGCAAGGCGGTAGCAACAAAGGCACAATCAAACTCATAACGTAGAAATGACAACAATCAAAAGGCACATGTACATGTACATACTTAGCTGCGGGATACACTATTATTACAGTGTTCATCTCTGCCCCCGACAAAAAAATTACCGGACAACTCAAGTAACAGCTTTATTATTTACAGTATATATATATATATAAATTTTAAGAAAAATCTTTGATAAAGCAACGAAAACTGAAACTAAAACAGGCAAAGATCTGATTGTCGTCACAATGGACACTGACAAACTCAGTGCTTACATAGTGACGCTAGAAGGTTTCTAGCTCTCTGAAGTAAAGAGGCTTATCATTAATAAGATTTAAAGAACATTCGGTTTAAATAAATGACGAAACTGTTATTTTTCATGGAAAAGGACGCTGTTTTCAAGTTAGAGAAAGATATTTCTTCGCTGCACATGGTAACTTACCGCCGCCATTTTAAACGCTTGCAGATGTCGTCTAGTACCCAGTTTACTTGACTCAAAATCCAGTCGGAAATTTTTCGACTGGCCGATAGCTTTCGGAGTTTTTTTTGTGCTTTAAAAGAACCATCAATTACACGTGATTTTATTGATTTTTTTTTTACAAATTTTCATGTGTTTAATATAAAAAGGATGATTTTTCGAGATTTACTTCTGTACTTATTCCTTTTTTCTGAGTTGAAAATGTTCGGATCATCTTCGGATGATATTCGCGAGAACACCTCGACTTTTTCCGATCTTCAAATGTGAGTGTCTTAGCCTAAGTAAGAAGCGAATCTTTTGTTATTGTCAAAAAGGATGACAACTCTAAACTTTGATGAAGATGAAGTAAACTTGGATAACAATGTAGCGGTAAGTTATTGTGGAAAAGGTCTCAAATGACAAAAATACCTCCACTTTCCAATGTAGCATGAATACACGGACATACACTGGCCACCAATATGGCTCCTATATCGTTCACGAATATAATGGAATGCCTCAGCCAACATATGACGAACAAGTTATGTCATTGGCGAGCTCAGGGTGAATTTGGAAACAAACTGTGCTTAGATTTTCTTGACCTTTTTCACTGTTCATTCCAAAAACATATTGTATTGAACAGGATCCCTACGTTTGATATTGATTAACTTCGTTACCATGCACCTTTTCCCAGTATGTTTCTGGCTCTGGAGGGATTTTAACTTGGGGAATCATAGTAAAGGTTCAGATTTTAGAACAGAAATATTAAAAAAATGGGCGCACTAAATGTATTTTGAAAGGGCAATGCAGGTATCGATGTATTTCCCAACACTGTGCCAAAACTGACTGCAAGGACATTCCATTTTTTTTATTTGTGACACATTGCAATTCTTTTAGTTATTTTTTCTACAAGAATAATCCAGATGGGCAACAATCAATCAAGGAGCCCTCTTTGAAATATTATCCTTTTCCCTTGCTTAGTGTATCTTCGCTCATACGAGATCACATTATATTTTTGGTTGGGGTCTTTTCAGTCTGCTTTTTGCCGTAAAATTGCCTGAAATTATGTTTTTGAGGCGACTAACTGTAGATCAATAATTTTGATTTCTTTCTGTTAGAGGAACAGCTGTAAGCATAATCTCTTTCCCAACCGTTATTTGATCTTGTCACACAATGGTGCTCTCTCAAATGAGGAATAGAAGGTGTTGTGTGATGAGACCAAACAATGGCTGCGAGGGAGACTGCAGTAAGCATGGCACCAATACATTTTACTTTTGCACAGAAGTAGTCAGAAAATAGAGACAATAGACCACAAAATATATGTGTGAGTTTTAGATAGATTGTTTTTTCTCTTTCTTTTGAAGTGAAGTAATGTGATATTTTCATTCTTTTGAAAGTTATGAAAACACCAGGAACACAGAATGTCCCATTTTGACCTACCCAGCTGAAAAAATAACTCTTCCATGCTATGCATGTCTATGTTTTACGCACGTCTATGTTGTATATGAACTTCCTCCCTTCCCTCTTCCCATGGAATTTAAGACTGCAACACCTCAAAGTTTCATATCAGTACCTCTAAAATTTACCTGGAAGGAGTTCATGGTTTTGCTGGTGTCCTTAAAAAAAAAAAAAAACCTTTTGTTCTAATTTCTGGGTGCAGGCCGGCAATCTTGAAATGGGTATGTTTTGGCAACAACCCAAACCCTACCCTACTGATAGGGTGACTCATATTATGTCTCCTTCTTCTTTTGTATATTTTAAAGCTACAAGAAGAAGCAGCCGTTGTGAATGACTCTAGTGTTTATCAAGTAACACTGTCAGAACCCTCAAGTTCTGCGAGCAATGGTCAACAGTATGCTGTTATAACTGGCCTACCATCTACAGGTTGGTGCATATGGTTAGGGCTAGGGTTGAATATACATACATTCAACAGACTGCAGAGTTCACTTATAATGTAATTTCCTTTCCTCTTAAATTACAGTGGAACGACTCCTCACTGACCTCTTGAAACAAACTCAAGAGAATTCAGGACTTCTACAGCAAGCATTGGCTGAGCTGCATGAATTGAAACAACAAGTGCAAAACCAAAAGAAATTTCCATTCACTGTCAAGACATGTGGATTCGAGGTACTGTTTTTCAGCAAGCTCAATTTCATAATGCTTCTTATACACCCCAGCTTGTATGCATCAGATCCTAATTCAAACATGATTTTGGTAGCTCATCAAGATCTAAGCAGAAAGTATTCAATTTTTGCTATTACCATTGTCATTATTATTTTCTTCAATTTTTAGGTCACTGTTATTGGCATCCAGCATTGCTAGAATTATCATTACTATTGTCAATAGTAATATCATGGTTACTATATTATTATTCTTTTATCATTATTATTTTTGATATTTTTGTGGTACTTTATGTGAATAATAGCTTTTAGTAAATTTACAAAGCAATGTACTCTTTGTGTTCTTCCCTATTAATTGTTTTTGGATAGAGGGAACTGGTTTTAAAAGCAAAAGAAATATTTGTTACATATGGACCATGGCTTGTCAATGGTTCTTTGGATAAATTAAAGGTAATTATGCTTGCATTGATGACAAAATTAATGGCCAAAATAGGAACATTATCAATTCATGTGCATAGTTGCTAAACCTTCAACCAGGATAATTAAACAAAGAACCAGTTAGTGTGATTACAGATGGCTAGAATAGATCAAATAAGGGAACCAGCCACATTTTAGATCTTGGTCAGGTTACCATCTCCCTCCCACATAATGTGTATCCAATAACCTTGTATTGGGGAGGAATCATTTTCTTTTTCTTCTTTTTCTTCTTTGTAACAATGTTTCATGCATGTGCTTGTATGTTTTATTTACAAGGCATAGTCATTACCATAAGTTCCCTTTTTGAGATGTATGTCCTTGTTTCAGGAAAAAATTGAGGTCCTGTTAGGAGGAGCTGATAGAGTTGATGCCCACCATGTGGCCAGTTGTGTATCATATTGCAAAGAAAAATACACACTATGGAGAGCAGACATAAGAAAGAAGGTGAGACAATAAACTTTCTGTCATGCATTTTTAGCACATATACAGATATTCATGGTCTCGCTGTTCAATGTTTGAATTCTAAATTCAAATCACCAGCCTGAATGAACTGATGCTTGTCAAACCTTTCACCTTACAGGTTCTCAACAGAAAATTAAATCATCTGAAAATAGCTGAATTCACTAATAAGTTGTATGCCCCCTTCAAGACCAAGGAGGAAGAGATGAAAAATGCTACAAAGACTGCAATGCTACTGGTATAACTTTTGATTTTTGCTACCTAAAATGTTTTTTTTTTGTTTAAAGTTATACTGCACTGGCATTTTATCCATTGTATGATTGCCTTGACAACCTAACCTGAGCATACAACTGTAACTTGTGGTTTCTGTAATTCACTTGTTTAATCTCCTAGATTTAAGCTGCAATCCTTAAAAATGTTAACTTTATTTTTGCTCTTCATGTATTTAGCTAGTGGCCCAAAATCTTGAATTGCAGGACTGATGTTCTAAATGGTTGTTAAAAATAAGCTGTATCAACAACTTTACTGAAAAATATTAAATAAGTTGTAGTTGAAAATCAAGATTTGTTTCCTTAAATTGTTTTTCTTCACAGCGCAAGTTTGCTAGTGAGACTGGCTACTTTGACGAGACATCAAAATCAGACTTTTGGGACAAGTTTGTTGACTTTGCCAATGCATGGAACAAAAACAAAATTTCAAACAAATGGACAACGCTGAGGACTGAAGATGAATCCAAATACACAGAAACACTTGAAACATCACATTAAAAGTTATCTAAGGTTAAATAGGACTGTGCCTTTTAAAATATAACCTCATACTTACACTTTGTAAACTTTGGTCCAACATTTCATTATTTTACAATGTTATATTTTAATGATGTACAAAATGAAGGAATCTTTTCAGCTTCATAGCTGAGTTCTGATATTTACATCTCTATGTAAGAACCTCTTGATAATGTTCCTATGGGATCAGTTAAATTGAAGGCAGTGTATATTTCAAAATCATATTTCATAAATCACTTACAGCTATCCTTACAGTAAGTTAGTTGTAAGTATATAATGTAAAAGGGCCGCACTATTTTGCTGAGATAGAACTGTTATTGAATTTCTGTACAAGCAACTTGTTCAACTTGGGATATAATTTTTGAGAATAAGTGGCTTGCAAAAATTTGAGTCAAAAATGACATATTGTTTTTAAGAAGTATACCACAATCAAAATACTTTTTCAGGCTTACACATTTTATTTTAAAAAGGTTGTAATTAAGAAACAAATTTATGGTCTAGTAATACTGCAGTTTGTCCTCAAGTGAATTCTATTTTTTATTTTATGTTGCATAAACACCTTTGCTATGTACAGGTAAGTGTTGGTCACCTTATTTCTGCGAAGTACATTACTCACTGAGATGGGTTGCCTAGAATTTTTTTTTGTTTATTTATTTGTTATTTAATCTGCTCTACGTGTAGAAAGTAGTAAATGAAAAAGGAAAGTCATTCTAGGAAGTCAGTAATATCACCCTTCTACACTGTAGTTGTAATCTCTGCAAATTATGTTCATGTAGCAAAGTCTCAACCCCTTTGTGTCTCTCTGTGCTTATCAAAAGAAACAGGGTGTACAAAGGTGCAACAATACTTAAACATCTCTTTTTGAATAAAGTATAGATAATTATTAAACATTGGTTGTTGTACAATGAAAACTTGATAAAATCATTCTCTTATGTAGCTTGCAAAGCAATCTTCACTGTTACTTATAGGCCAAGGACAACAAGCTTGAGCAATGAGGAATTTGCACACAGGCATGTATAAAATGTGAGCAAAAAATTAGGTGCTGTTTCAATTTTTCTTCTCTCTTCCCCCATGACTGTCACTCTAAAAGGACATCAGTAATAGTAGGACAAACTGCAGAACTTCCAAAAATTCCACTGGATAGAATGATGAATCAAAATAGACTTTCTTTGTTCTTAAAACCTGTTCACAACTGTAATATGGGTGCTGGTATCCCTGGCATTTTGTGAATTTCACTGTCATTTTCAAATTGTGACAAGTCCCTCAGACTCGCCCACCACTTGTATAGGAAATGATCATTTATCATTTTGAACCAAGGGGTCATCAAAATGTTAGAATCTTTAGCTGCTTTCTGCAGTAGTTCTTTCAACTCACTCTCTGAAACATACCAACAGCGTTTAACTTCATTGGTATTTGGTTCTAGGGTTACATCCTTCTGCATAAAAAATACATAGTCTATTTCATGTTCTCCCCATATTTTATCTGATCCTGCTCTGTAATGAATCCTGGTGAGAAACCTGAGATCCTCCAAGGAGATCTGGTTGTCTAAGAGAAAAAAAAATGCAACAAGACTCCAGCTTTAAAAAGTGAATAAAATAAGATGGTGGGAGATGCAGTAGCTTGGTGCAGTTAGTGCAGTGAAATGTAGCCTCCCAATTCAACGGTCTTGTTTAAAGCCTTGAATGGATCATAATGTTGTAGTCTCTTTACACCCTGGGGTAAAAAGAAGTAACAGCAAATTGCTGGATGTCTTGGTTGGGGGAGGGGGGTGTTACCTGTGATAAACTAGCATATGTCCACAGGTGGGAGCAATATTTCTGTACTGATATGTTGCTTCAATGCTTTGGGAGCCAGGAAAAGCTTTACCCCAGATGAGCCACTAGGCTATCAATCTGACCTTCCATACCTTCACCAAAAATTATGAGAAAATTAAAACAAAAAATTAACTGGTGATGAAACATCCATTTTTTACCTCCAGAAAAATTTCAAAACTCTGCAGTCACTGGAACTGATAACTAAACATGATCATAGTTATACAACAGTTCTGTTACACAAGAACACTCCTAGGTTGGTGTTCTCCGTGATATTAAACAGGACAGTGACCCTCTCTTACACACTTCCCTGCCCAGCCCAAGCTCAGGAATAGAAGAATTCGGTGCTGGCCAACATACCTGGAATGCCAAGTTCGTAAGAGAGCCTCCTCTTTGCAGCTAGTTTCACTCCAAAATTATCATGTTCCACCAACTCAGAATCCTCGTACAACGGATGACTACAACATGTGTTGGTGATGCAACCAGGAAACGTAACTTTCACGTCCGATCTCTGTTGTAGCAGTAACTGTCCCTTTGTGTTAAAGAGAAAGACACTAAAGGCTCGATGAAGCATTCCGTATTGTAGGATATTTCTTTTTAGGTGACATTCTTTTTTCGTTTCAGTGCCTTTAACGCAATCATTCTCGTCTACCAAGATTAGACGTTCATTTAGAAGTTTCTCTTGCGTTTCGTCTATGTTAGACAGTTGCAATATTCTTGAAGTGGTGTGGAAATTCTTCGATCCTGAAAATCGATAATGTTTCAAAAAAATAACAGTAGCTCGTATCAATCGATTCATATTCCACACGACTAAACTTTTGTCCAAATTTGAGGGACGATTTAGTTTTCAGACGACATGTTTGTTCTTGTCGAAAGAACAACACGTGGTTACCTAGCTGATGGTGAAAATTGCTCCTAAGCGGGGCTCTGAGAGAGGCCAATTAAATTTCGTTTAAAAAGTATAAGAATACTCTTGATAGCCATATTTAAGTTCGTTATTAAGGGCGTTAAATAATTAAGCTTCTCTTACTTTAATCGTACTTTATATAAACTCAAAAATAGGCTTTCTGCTCCGTAAGAAGTTTAATGCTAAGTGACACACCCCTACTAAGGTTATTCAATGTTAGATTTGTGCTCAAGATGGCGGCTGGGTTAAGTGAAGATGTCTTCCCTCCGCTAACGTTGCTGCTCAAGGTGAGAAAAGTTGCCGATAAATACTTTAAAGGAAACACTGGAACATATATTTTTGTAGGTTGGACAGCCTTTAATTTTATTCATTGACAGGAGCCTGATCGTGCAAGATCAAATTGCCCTACTACGAACAACTTAGAGGTGACACAGGTTTTCCTAAAATACAAGCCTAGTATGACCATAAGATTGGGATGCCATTTAGAGAGTTGGGAAATCTTACCCTCTTCTGTGTCGGACTAGGCGAGTCAGCGAACAAGACTTTTCTCTGCGACCTCGATCGAGTCAACGTCCTTAATTAATACCTTCCACTTTCTATTGAATGTAAACCGACAGGTCGATGATTCTGTCTGTGGTTAAAATTTTTCAAGTTTCCCAGCATCCACGCTCCTGGATGAGTTTTAAACATTGGCACTTCGAGACAGTTTATGGATTCTTTTGCCCAAAAAAAAAAAATACAGAAAACTATGAGACAAAGGAAATGAGAGACTTAAAAGCTGATTATGATTAGAAAGGCCCTTATATTTTCCAGATATCGTTCCCCGCCAGTACTTATTTGTTCATTCTGTTCAATGACTCATTCTAGGCTCAGTCAAAAGAATTTGTGCGCACCCTTTTCCACGAAGCTTTTAGTTACAGAAGTGATGCAGGTTAGTGTCCTTTAAAAGGTTTTTTTTTGTTTGTTTTCAGTGCACAATTTATTTTAGGTTGCTAGCGTTTCGTATTTTTTCTAAACAACACATTTATGAAGATGTCATAAGGTCCACCGATTGTCTAAAATCACAGCCTAAGTTAAGCTTTTCTGGATTAACCCTTAAATTTCAATCTTAGGACTGAACAATGATAAGTATCTCCTTGGAATTAACAATTTGATGTTATCAATCAAGATGAATATGCTAACTTAAAAGAAATATTAATATATTTTTTTTCTTTTTCCTCTTAGTCTCAGTATCTGTTCTCAAAAATGTAGCAGCTTCCTTAGATGCAGGACTTGATGAGGCAAGATTGGTATGAGAATGAACACCTTGCTCATTTGTTAGGGGCACATTACTACAGCCTAAGATCATGCTTTAGTAGGAAAAGTTTAACCAGGCTTGGTTACATCATGTTGTAGAGTGCCAGACTGTCATGTGGGAGGTTGAGGGTTCAAGCCCCAGACCAGACCAACACTCAGGGTCTTAAAATAACTGAGGAGGATGTGCTGCATTTGCTATGAAATCTGCAATTGGTTAGGCATTCTGATCTTCTTGGATGAGGAAAGTAAACTGTCTCCTGCATCTTCTCTGTACTGTTTAGCAAGGGATGAACCCGTACACTTCTCACACAGAGTAGGGAATGTAGCTTGTAGTGTTGTAGTCTGGCCTTGTTATTGTTTATTTGGGTCCCCATATAAACCAGCTTTAAAAATGAATGGGGCCAGATTGTCTAAATATCACAAGTAAATAAATTTTAGAAATCAAATTATTTCTGATTTATTGATTCATTAATTACTTTGTAAGACAGAAACTGTTTCATTTGATTGTAATGTATTGTTTTAGTTAATGGAGAGCCTTGTGGCAGTGGTCCGTGCAGCATTGTTTGAATGCCTTACAGACCCAAAAGCAGTATATGATTTGTTTCCAGGTATGTAAACACTAAAATATTTATAACATACTTTAAATTAGGATATTTGTACTACCCTTTCATTTCTGCCCAGCAATCAAAGGTCTTTGGGTTAATTTCAAGATACTGAACATCTATGTTAAGCAAGGTACAATGGAAAAAGCTGAGTCCCTAGAGAGGATTGGAACCTCAGACTTGCTGATTTTGCGTCAGTTAGCAACCTGAGATTTTACACAGCGCAACTTGGCTCAAGGGGGTTTTTTGAGTAGCCACTGATTGTGGGATTTGTTAAAAACCTTGAAACCTTAGTGGTACTTATTTTGGGGATGAAAACTCAAGGATTTTACAATTGATATGCAATTGGTTACAGCTATGTCACCTCTATGAACTAAAGATACTTTTGGTAATACTTTTTTAGAGAACTTTCACAAGAATCTTAGAGAACTTATTTCCAAGATTATTGCTGAAAATATGTGAGTGTTCAACTTTTTAATACAATCTAATTAACTGTTACGTATGAGACTCTGAAACTGTTACATGAACCCCAATTATCTATGTTAGTGAACCACTGAAAAACAAGCATGAGGTGTTCTTTAGGGATGAAGCGTTTAAAAGTGATGGTTGTGAGAAGAAAGCAAGGAAAAAAATTTCCCCAGTGAACTATTGAGATAGAAATATTCCTGCGCATTATTGATGGGCTTTGCCGCCGAACTTTACCCTAAGTAGACAATCTTCTAGCCAGAATGAATCCGTCAAATATTTTCACTCATGCATTCAAGTTTTTGGTGATTTTGCTGTTTTTATTTGTCAGGCCCCTGTGGAGGACAAATGCCATTAACGAGCAAGGTAGAGTGATATTAGTAAAAACTGTTAACGCAGACCTGTTTTGTTTTGCGTTTATCCAAAATTCCGATTCGGTTATTAAAAAGTTTTATTTACTGGAGGCACATCTGACAAGATAAAAGAAGAGAACTTTTGTTTCCAAACACGAAACAGTGTAATTCCAAAACGGAGGATTTTTAAAACTTTTTCAACAACTTATATTAAAAATGAAGACTTGCCCGTCGCGGTTGCCTTCACTCGCCCGAAAATACGAAAAAAGAGGAAAAACATGACGCTTCTGCAGGCTGAACAGTAGACTACGTTTATATACAACAATCGAAATGCCGAAGGTTTCAGTGCGTGTATAAACTAAGAGAGATGATGAAGTTTTGAGCTTGTTCGTTGTGGTTATCAGTGTTTGGTCATTTTGTGTTTCAAGCTAAAAATGACGCTCTAAGTTTGGGTGGAAGGCCGTTCTCCCTCCCCCCGCCCAGTGTTTGACTGACTTACTGTGTTTTTTTTTTTGTGTTTTTGACAGTTTCATTGCCAAAGCTGATTGACTTTGATTGGAGAGTGGATGTCAAAACGTCGTCGAACGTCATCAGCAGAATGTCTATGCCGACGTGTATTATGCAGTTACAGGTTTGTTTTAAGAAAACCGAGTTTACCATTCTATTCTTGGAACTATAAATTCTTGTTCAGCTTTCAAATTTCTTTGTATTATTTCAGTCTCTTGGGTCGATGCGATTGTTACAGGTATTTCTAGATAAAATCGAGTTTATTGAAAACAACAGTATTACACTGACTTGTCTTTGTCAAAATATAAAGAAGGTAAGAAAGATGTTTTTTCGTCTTGTCACGAGCGTGGGACAAAGAAAAAATTCTGAGTCCCCATGAGGAATCGAACCTCAGACCTTCGGATGTGAGCTACGATGCTCTAACACAGAACGATAGAGACTCTTCGGTGAGTGAAGTCTATTACGAAGTTCATATGACACGCGTCCTGCATACTGCTAGGATCAGCAATGTCGATAGCGTCATGTTTTTTGGATAGAAATAATTTTTTCTTTGTCCCACGCTCGTGACAAGACGAAAAAACATCTTCTTAATTCTTCACCGATCTGAAAACTTACCATCTCTACTATTTCTATAAAGAAGGTATTTATCGTACACGTTAGTATCGATTTCGCAGAAGGATGCTTCATCAACAAGTTAACAGAGAATCTTAGGAAAGTTGTTATTAATTTTGTCACGATTCCTCTGCTCTTTGTGATATGGTGTTCGGCGAGCCAACCAGTAAACCGCTGCCCCTGTCAAGTTTCTTACAGCAACTGACACTTTCCATTCGTACAGGATACATCCACACTTTTGAGTGACCATTCCTGTTTTATTTGAAGGTTCAAGAAAATGCCACAGAACAGAATTCAATGCCGTCAGTGCGGCGTCTTAATGTGGAACTGACTAAGGAAAAACTTGACACCATGTTGGATGGACTTGGGAAAATACGAGATCAACTCTCCTCGGTTTCAAAATAAATTTAGATAACAATTTTATAGATAACTGAAATAGTTTTAAAATAGAGAGATTTATTTTACAACGAGCGTTTTCCTGTCTTCGAGGATATCACGTGTCTGAATTTCTCATGGAGGCTTTGTTCTAAAGTGTTTCCTTCTGAAGTTATTTTTAAGATTACGTGTGATTTTGGAAATCGTGAGAGGATCAGTACATGGATAATCCTGCAGTGCAAAGTTTTCCCATGGGGAAGAACTCATGCGATGTCTATGTAATCCCCACGATGATTTGGAGAAAAATTCGTAGTGTATGGATGATAATTCTACATAATTCCAATATATAGTGACTAAAGGATATTGTTTCTCAGCTCGACCCGCCCTCGCCATTGTTCGTATATGGCATATTTCCGGCAACCTGTTTGTTTTTATTAAACCAGATTTTGTTGCGTTCAAGTAAATATCAATACGTCTCTAGAAACCAACAGGCTCTAGAACTTCCCAGCCCAGACAGTGGCACATTACAAATAAGGAAGATGAAGGTTTAAATTCGTAGCAGCCGAGCAGAGTTTATCTATCTTCACACTAGTACTTAGAGCAAACTAAACATGTTTGTAGAGAAAAATGTTAAAATGTTTCTAACTGGTATAACTGTTTGTAATGCTATCTCGCCTACATTGTGCAGAGCAATCGTTTGCGATCTTCCTTTTGATCCAACGGACATAATGTGCATGCAGTTACTA